TTTGCATTTATTTGTCTTGAAAGCTGTTAAATAAAATTATATTATGAAAAGCTGAAATGCAGATCTTTATCACAACGTTTCCATCTACAGAGTTGCCCAACAGGTCCTTCACTTGATGTGGAAGCTGGCTGTTTATTTGAATCAGCCACAGGAGTAAAAATTTAAATTTCAAAATTTGAGACCTCTACGCATAGTGATTTTAGATCTGGACCTGGTCTAATGTGGTCTACATGCGAAAAAACAATGAATCATCCTTTAAAGTATTTTCACAAATGAATAAACGTTTCACAAATCTGAAACTATGTTTGATTGACACTTTAGCCTCTCTGTATCAATCTAGTCCAGATTTGAGAGCTCTAAGTATAGTGGTTTTGGATCTGGACCTGGTCTAATGTGGTCTGCATGTGGACAGAAAAAGCAGTGAAATTGCCCTTATTTTTCAAATCTAAACAAGTGTTTCAGACAGCCTTAACGCTTTGCTAAAATGCATAACAGCTTTCACAGCAGTACGAGGTGCAAAAAACGGAGAATCGGTCGCTCAGCAACGTAAGTTAACTTTCACTTAAGTTTCCCTTAACTGCCGAAACTGAAGCTAACTTCAGCCTCGTGAAGCCAGACGGAGTCGGGACAGATACAAACAGCTGAGGGCAGAAATCACGGATGTTGTGGATTTTCCCAGCAGGGACGCTAGCAGGCGTTTTTTGAGGCGCAGCGTTTTTCCGACTGCTTTGGTTGCTATGATACATTTGTTGCAAGTAGTTCTACCGAACTTTACTGGATGTAAAAATGTCAACACAGAGTTAAACTTTTACTGCCCTGATAGAAAAATCATGTAAGGTTAGTTGGATTGCTTTATTCTCCAGCGCTGTGCTTTGGGTTGTGGTGTAAAATATGTAGTTGTTTGTCATGAGACAATCAGCTGATCACTAATTGGCAATAAAACAGCAGCTTCCAGCATCAAAGCTCAGATCAGCAGCTAAACTTCACAATTTACTGCCCTGGTGGAAAACTTGTATTTCTTTTTACTGCTAATGGAGATATATAACAAGACCACGTCTATCAAGTGACCAAGAATAAAACTTTGAGAATGTGCATTAAAATTTTGTTTTCCCCACTGTGCACACAAATGTGTAATTTATGCTTCCACATGCTAAATGCCCATTAAAAATGTTGCACCATTTTACCACAAGCTGAAATTATGGCTGTCAGTACTACTTTGTGTTTCTGTTGTATTTTAAAAAATTAAAAACATTTTGGTAATATTTGCAGATTGTTTATCTAATTAAGCAAAGTGAGAGGAGCCTTGATCCTCACCTGACAATATGGTTTATAATGGACTGTGGTGCAGAAACAGTGAGGCTCACATTGTCCTGTTATCTGTCAGTGGTCATACTGGATGCACTAGATGTGATAGTGTTTAGAGTTTGAGATGTTCTTCATTAACATGTATGTTAGTCCAGATGAACCAACCCTCCCAAGATGTAAAATAATGTATTACAGAAGTATGAGACATCATGCAGCACTTCATTTCTTCATGTGGCTGTTTATTAATGAACAAGTAATAATATTCAAAACATATGGTTTAACTGAATAATTAAGTCAATATTATTTATTTGTCTATATCCATCTTGACTGGCAACTCTCTCCTATCTCATAGATGGCATATTTGTCCTGTCTCAGGCACCGTATCTGTAGTGACTAAAGCAAAAACAAAGTAGTCGCTGAGAGGCTGAGGTAGGGCCTTGTGGTGCTGTTTGTCTGACTCGCTGCACAAATAATTTGCGGATCTCAAAAAATATAATCTTTGCTTTTTATTGACGAAAATATGCAACTTAATATAATGTGAAAACGTATATTCAAAATAATCACAATGATCAAAAACTATAAAGAATACCGCGGTCAACAAAAAATACAGCGTCACTCACCCTCTTTCTGCCACTGGCGTTGAACAGGTGTGTAAATTAACTATACAGAAATCACCACCCACATCCACGTGACTTATAGAAATAACTCCAAACGTGCAATAAATCAGTTCATGATTCCTTCAGTAGCTGTACTACTCGCTTGGATAGGGGAGGGGGGGTGCAAGTCACAATCCTCACCACTAGATGTCACTAAAACTTACACATTGAACTTTTAAAAACAGACAACAGGTTTCTGTTTAACTTACAGTTTACTGTGTTAAATATGTACAAACACTGCTGATATGAAAAGAACCAACATATAAATCTGGAGTTTACATTTTATTACAAAATGCAGATAAAAACAAGTTTATTTACAAAAATAATCTTCTACAGCGCTCTGATACAGCAGAGACGATCTCCCATTATTTCTCCCAGTAGAGTCTATCTGCTCATGTTTGTAACAGAGCGTGGAGTCTGTGTGAGACCAGGTCAGTCCACCTGGTCCTCAGAAGTCCGCATCTTTACAGAGGCCTTCAGGCTGAAGGTGTTATCCCTCTGAGACTCTGTAACTCAATCCAGGGTTTCCCAATCCAGCTCCCAATGAGCACCTTCACATAAAAGGCGGGGTTAGCAGCAGATGACCAATCGCAGACATGAAGAAGTCTTCTGGCAGCAGAGCGTCAAATTTTACAAAGCAAACTGTAATATTAGACAGACATAATCTAAGTAACAGCTGCAGTGTGAATGTCTAAGTTAACATGCGTATCCTATAATTTCAATCTGTAGATTTGATGTGTTCTTCTGACAATTTCAGCCTTATTCTTTCAGCTCGACTGTGTGTCGGCGTTTCCATATTAAAAGCCTCAGGCACTGATTGAATAAGTGGTCAACTCACTTTTAAGAACGTCTCGTCACTTCAGACATCAGAATCATTTATTTAACACACAGGAATGGTCCAAACATTGTTCTAAATTAATTTCATAAAGCAACAAAATGAAAAATCCATTCATGCCATGAAAAGTAATAAAATGTGCTCTAACAGTGGTTGAAAGACTGAATCTCAACATTAGGCTTCTGAAAACTCCCCCACATTACCTCCACATCGCTAAAGGTGAGGCGCTACATGACCAGTCTGTGTGATACAAGATGGCTTCTAACGTAAAAGAAACACACTCATATTAAACTGAATTTCAATATTGCTATATTGCATAATATTCAGCCTCACGTAAAAAATGAAACCCATTTATTTAACGGCTGCGACAGGCTGTATGAAATATAAAATACTTAAACATTTCAAAGCGGTGAGTGGGCTTACTGTCACATCTTAAAAACCTACAAGTACTAGCCTACAAGGCTTTTATCCCTTATAATTATGAAGAACATAATAACATAAGTATGAATGCAGAAATAAATAATTAATTATATAAATAAACAAATATAAAATACATTTTGGTTAAAAAAAAGGCTATTTCTTTATTTTGTCATTCATTTGTTTATACTTTTTGTCATTTTTTTCTTCTTTATAGCAGTGAAGACAAAGCTTTGAAAAGCAGCTTGTCCCTGGACTTTGAATTACATATTATTATTGTATAATTATAAACATAAAGGGTCAGCTGGGATTGGCTCCAGCCCCCGTGACCCTGTACGCAGGATAAGCGGTTGACGATGGATGGATTAATAAAGGTGGCAGCAGTTTGTGGGGACTTGGTTTGGGAAAATGCTGAATGAGCGGATACACTGGAAAAAAAAAAGTAGTATTGTTAAGTTGAAGCAACGGACAGCGTGAGAAAAGCAATGTGGTTTTGAACATTAAAGCATGTAAACATTTTCTGGTAGAAACCCAAAATAAAAGTATGAACCTGAAAATGAGCTTAATGTGGGACCTTTAAGTTCGACTGCTTTCCCCTAGAGGCTGTGATGTGAATTACACATAACAAGGGGAAAACGTTTTAGTCATTATAAACTTGATGTTTTAGTCTTGATTTATTCTGCTGCTCAGGTAGGCCGACACAAATACTCTTTTAACAGAGTCCGCACAAATCCTGTCCTCACAGAAGCAAACACAGCAGCTACAGCCGGACCCTGACCTCTGACCTCTCAGCAGTTTTCAGTCCCAGCAGTAGATATTGTACTTGTATCACAGAAGCAGTATTTGTAGTAATAGCACTAATAGAAGTGACAATATGTACTATAACAAATCAGTCCATCTGATATGTTTTGTGGTCAACATACTGAACTTCTGGGTGAATCTGGGGGCTGTGTAACACATTTTGGGGTCATCAGATCCTGTTTAGGGCTCCAACAAGGTTTCTGTCGACCCTGAATATTTGTGTCATGTTACTGAGAGGAAGGAGAACTAAAGTGTCCTGAGATGTAAAGCTTGTTGTAATGAATGAGTGCAGCTCTCTCAGCATGTTGTTGTGTTTGTGTGAAGGTGTGGGCTCTGCTATGAATCAGTGTGAGGACAGAGAGGAGGGAGTCCCTCCCTCTAAAAGCACTCTGTGTGGGGAACATGACAGCCAGACCAAAGCTCAGAGGTGAGATGAGGATCTCTAACTGTCCAGGACTCAAATCACTCCACCATCATTATTCACTCTGAAAGCTCTGTGTGTGTTGTGTTGAAGCCCAGAGCAGCAGCAGGGACCAGACTCTGCTGGACCTGGACCTGGACCCAGCTGTGTGTCCATCAAGAGTGACTGGTCTATGGACAGACTCATTGTCTTCAAAGGTGGACACCACTCTGCTGATCAAAGGTCAGCATGTTAAATGTTTGTGTCTCTCCTGAGATGAGGTTTGGTGTCTTTGTTTTGATCACTTCATGTTCTTAACTCTTCACTTTTTTCAAACTGGTCTCACATTTTGCAGATCTTAGTCCAAATATCAAAACCACGGTTAAAATCCACAAACAGCTGGATGCAGGTTTGAGAATGTGTAAGAACATTGAAAGTGGATGATAAATTAGCTCCTTCATGCAGTTTTTCAAATCAGGATCCACATTCACAAATCTGAGATTACAAAATAAAATCTTGGAACATTTAAACACGAGTTTCCTCATTTCATTAGAACTCACAGGAAGGGTTAACAGCCCAACCTGCATCTTTTATGAGGGCTGTGATTAAGTTTCTTACTACAGGATTATGTAAATACACTCAGTGTGATCACGTCGTCAAACAGAAACACACTGTTCAGGATTCAAATTAAAGTATGCTAGTTTGTTCTGTTTACTTGTTGACTGAAGAAGGTAAATCATATTCTTTAAATAACTGCTTTGGATTCTCTGCAGTCAGGTAATTTATTCAGCATAAAGTGCAGATGATAAGAAATAGTTTGAGTTCTACCCTTCAAAGTTGTTAATAGGAAAAATGAAGTTGGTAAAGTAGAACCACCAGAGCTTTATGATCTTGAGATAAGCATTTATACTGTTAATGTTTGACTCCAGTTTCTCAGTCCAAAGTTCAGAGCTGCTCTGTGTTCACATTAAAAAACACTTCAGTTTGAAGATGAATCCAGAGAGACTGCATGTGAATTTACAGACCTTTGAAAACCTGCTGGAGTCACATTTGTTCTTTCTCTGGTTGGTTTCCTGGTTGAAGCTGCTGATTAATTTCACCTTCGGTCGACGACTTCATGCAGATTATTTTTTATCATCAAAAGGTAACTTAATCATTTTCTGCCATTTTGTTGTTGTAGTATCAGTTTTACACTCTTCTGAACAGTAGAGGTGGCAGTGAGGAGTTCATCTGGGTTTTTTTCTGGCCACTCAGTATATTCTGTCAGTCCCAATTTAAGAGGCAATAATGTGAAATGTAAAAGTGACGTCTTTACCTCCCACTGTCTCCTCCAATGGAGGCTAGCTTTACATAGGACATTACGGACTGCTACTGCCATGAAAGGTTCAACGCTGTCTCCATTTATATTTATTCAAATTGCTTTCTCAATTACGTTCTCCTGAAAAATGATGTATGTATATTCGCTCGTATGTTATGTACATACTAATTTGAAACTTAGCAGTTATATTATTTAGTTATAGACTTTTATTATTATTATATTATTTCATGTTGCACAAGTAGCTGTTGAAGAAAAATGAATACAAAATAATAATTATTACAGAGAGGTTGCGATGGTGCAGTGGATTAGACCCTTGTCTTTGATTCCCACTGGAACACATCCACCAAATAAGTTATTGTCAAGGGTCCTGCTTCACCATCCATGTTATAATAGAGCCGCCACCAGTTTAATCGGGGCGTGGGGGGGTCTCAGTATATTTTCCTGCTTTTTTGCCCTTTGCCAGTCACATGCCTGTTACTAAATGTTTTCAGGAGATGATTCTTATTCTAAATCTTCTCATTTGAACGTGTTGGCTGAAGGGAAACTGTGTGGCTGTTTATGAGAGGAGGGTTAATGTTAACGTCCACTTTGATTTGACTCATAAAAAACAGCTGAAACGACTCCGCTGGGCTTTTTAATGGACACACTCTGTTTTACTGTCTTTCTTTTTATGAAAATGCTTTGAGAAAGGTTTGTTTGCACAATAAGAAAAGCTGCCGTGCATTTTAAATATAGAGGAAACAAAAAAAGTAAGTGAAGCTAAAAGAAAAACAAGCTGCTGATTTCTGCATTATATTCTGTTCTAGTTTTAGATTTGAATCCTCACCTGCGACCTATATTTAGTTTCCCTTCATAGAAATAAAGACATTTCCAGCTGATGTTGGTACAGAAAATGAAGTGTTTGATGGTCAAAAGGACCCCCATATATTTCATCATCACATCTGAGCCCTGATGTTCACTTTTCAACACAAAGTGACGCCCTTGGAACAACAGGAAGTGTTATATACAGAAATAAACTTCTGAAGTATTTTTCACAGTAATCAGTATTTCATTCCATATTAATAAAAACAGATTTCACTTTATTGACTATTCGGCCAGACGCCAAAGTCTGAAATGATGATTTAGCTTCAATCTGTCAGTTTTCAGATTTCAAGTTATTTTGCAGCTGTTATTTCCAGACTTTCATAAAATGTACAAAACAACCTTGAATGATGTTTTTAAACATTATTATTTGTCCATTTTACACAAAGTCCGTCAGCTGCAGCACTTTTCAAGTAAAAGTTCAAGCTGTCTTTTTAAAACTCTGCAAACTGAATCAGATGTGGTTTGAAAGTTTGTTTTCTAGAGCACAATGTTGACTAGTTCATATATCAGATATCTAGAAGAGATGTGTTCATGTGACAAACTGGAATATGTTTCTAATGCGTTAACTAATCTTTAAAGCCTGTTACACTGGGCTCTCGTCTTCCAGCTTTTCTCACTTGCTAACATGCATCGGTCCAGAAAAATAAGGGACACCTGCCACAGTGGAGGCCACACCCCTAGGGGCCCTGCAACCACAGGCCCGATGGTGTGCCAGTGGTGGTATATCATAACTTAAAACATGTTTTCAGAGAGAGAGGGAGGGAGAGAGGGGGAGAGAGAGAGGGAGGGAGAGATGGCATCGGAACTCCAAAGTCTCATCTGCCGACCTGATAGCCTATTTAGCAGCCCAACCTGCATCTTTTATGAGGGCTGTGATTAAGTTTCTTACTACAGGATTATGTAAATACACTCAGTGTGATCACGTCGTCAAACAGAAACACACTGTTCAGGATTCAAATTAAAGTATGCTAGTTTGTTCTGTTTACTTGTTGACTGAAGAAGGTAAATCATATTCTTTAAATAACTGCTTTGGATTCTCTGCAGTCAGGTAATTTATTCAGCATAAAGTGCAGATGATAAGAAATAGTTTGAGTTCTACCCTTCAAAGTTGTTAATAGGAAAAATGAAGTTGGTAAAGTAGAACCACCAGAGCTTTATGATCTTGAGATAAGCATTTATACTGTTAATGTTTGACTCCAGTTTCTCAGTCCAAAGTTCAGAGCTGCTCTGTGTTCACATTAAAAAACACTTCAGTTTGAAGATGAATCCAGAGAGACTGCATGTGAATTTCCAGACCTTTGAAAACCTGCTGTGAGTCACATTTGTTCTTTCTCTGGTTGGTTTCCTGGTTGAAGCTGCTGATTAATTTCACCTTCGGTCGACGACTTCATGCAGATTCTTTTTTATCATCAAAAGGTAACTTAATCATTTTCCGCCATTTTGTTGTTGTAGTATCAGTTTTACACTCTTCTGAACAGTAGAGGTGGCAGTGAGGAGTTCATCTGGGTTTTTTCTGGCCACTCAGTATATTCTGTCAGTCCCAATTTAAGAGGCAATAATGTGAAATGTAAAAGTGACCTCTTTACCTCCCACTGTCTCCTCCAATGGAGGCTAGCTTTACATAGGACATTACGGACTGCTACTGCCATGAAAGGTTCAACGCTGTCTCCATTTATATTTATTCAAATTGCTTTCTCAATTACGTTCTCCTGAAAAATGATGTATGTATATTCGCTCGTATGTTATGTACATACTAATTTGAAACTTAGCAGTTATATTATTTAGTTATAGACTTTTATTATTATTATATTATTTCATGTTGCACAAGTAGCTGTTGAAGAAAAATGAATACAAAATAATAATTATTACAGAGAGGTTGCGATGGTGCAGTGGATTAGACCCTTGTCTTTGATTCCCACTGGAACACATCCACCAAATAAGTTATTGTCATGGGTCCTGCTTCACCATCCATGTTATAATAGAGCCGCCACCTGACCTGATAGCCTATTTAGATTTTTTTCCTAGTAAATATATTTGTTTGATAGCGAATTTGTTGCAAACGGGAATAAATATACTGTGTATTATTTTATTAAAAAAAACAATCATCCCAAGAAAAAGCCCCTTTTGATGTCTATGTGCACGTGCCTGATGCCATGTCACTATATTTCATGTATTTGCTAATTCTATGCTAAAAACTCAGTCCTGTTTCTTTCAGTCTTGTTACTCAAATACACTCTCTTCACCTCCTTGGGACAGTGTCCAGAGGGGATCTTTCAGATTTTTCCTGGGGTCTATTCTAAATCCAGAGTGAAGATACTAATATCATATGAAACTAGATGACCTAATGCATCCATTGGTACCATGCTTTTTTTTTTCCCCCAAGTGTATTTGAATATTTCTGCATACTGTTAGCCAGGGCTCATTCCTGTTACTAAATTGTTTAGTTTTTTAAAATAAGATACACCACAATTTTTCTATTATGTTTAGGCCAGTCATTTATCCAATTGTTTAGTAAATTACATGATTTCGGTCTCCTTTAAAACAAAAAAAAGGTGTTGCATTCTTTAGAAAAATACAACTTGCTAGCATATAAAGTACAGTTTTTGTCGCAAATATTCATTTTTTGATCATGTAACCAACAATTTATTTAAAACACTTTCTTTAGGGAAAAACAAAGGAATTATTTGACCTGCTTTTAAACATAGTTTCAAAATGACATATAACACACCACAAACCAGCAGTAACCAGACCCGGTTCAGGTGCTCCACGCCGGCCCGTCTGACCCACCTGCTCGATCTCCGCGGCGTTCCTGATGATGCTGCTGATGGTCTCTGACGACAGTTTGTTCACCAGGTGTTTGAACATCAGACAGGCAAAGTCACAGTGCAGACACTGAACACACCACACAAAGCGTTACTACACAAAGAGCAGCCCCTGAACTCTTACACTTAACACTTAAAGACCATTTCAGTATATTTTAATAATGCTACACATCTTTGAGCTGAAACCAGTTAATTCACTCACACACCTTTAAAAGGGGCGCTGTGGAAAAGGAATTTGAATGTATTCAGCACAGTTTTATTACCTATATGTGAATAGGTTGTTACATCATCATAAACATCTAAACCACCTGCTGCTCTTAACCAATAGCATCTATATGACGCTGACGTACTGCGGTAAGCGTGTCGACTCATTTCCGTTTCCGGTGCTTGTGTGTTGGTACCGTGTTGTGCTGATCTCGCTAAACAGTTAAATTTGTTAGATTACAGCGGCCAACTGTCCGCTAAACACTTATTCTTACAGTAATTTTGCCTAAGCACTCACAGTTCTTTCCATCTTTTAGTGACTGCTGTTCAATCTCATAGTTGTTCTAAAGTTTTGATAACTGACGCTACAGTACTTTAGCTTAGCCGTTAGCGACTTTAGCTTAGCAGCTAGCGATGGCTTCTCCTTCTCCCTCTCTCTCTCCTACTTTCTCCTGCTCGGTGTGTCAGATGTTCAGTTACTCCTCTGCCTCCTTTAGCAGTAATGGTACGTGTAATAAGTGTAGTTTATTTATAGACATGGAGGCGAGGCTCAGTGATTTAGAAGTCCGGCTCCGCACCTTGGTAGATCAGTCTTTAGCTACTGTAGCTAGCCAGTCCCCGGTAGTCGGTGCGGGCCGGCCTGAGTTAGCCTCTGGTAGCCGTCCCCCGCATCTCCTGTGCAGCCAGGAAGGGGTGGCTGGGTGACTGTCCGAAGGAGGAATAGTCGTAAGCATTCAAAGTCCACGGGGCACCATCAACCTGTTCACGTTTCTAACAGATTTTCCCCACTCAGCGACACACCCGCTGAGAAACCAACTCTGATCATTGGCAGCTCCATTTTGAGAAACGTGAAGTTAGCGAAGCCAGCGGCCATAGTTAAGTGCATCCCTGGTGCCAGAGCGGGCGACATTGAGTCTTATTTGAAACTGCTGGCTAAGGATAAACGTAAATACAGTAAGATTGTTATTCACGTCGGCGGTAATGACTCCCGGTTACGCCAATCGGAGGTCACTAAGATTAATGTTGAGTCGGTGTGTACATATGCAAAAACAATGTCGGACACCGTAGTTTTCTCTGGACCCCTGCCAAATCTGACCAGTGATGACATGTATAGCCGCATGTCGTCATTCCACCGCTGGTTGTCGAGGTGGTGTCCAGCAAACGATGTGGGCTTTGTAGATCATTGGCAGACTTTCTGGGGAAGACCTGGTCTGATCCGGAGAGACGGCATCCATCCCACTTGGGAAGGAGCAGCTCTCATTTCTAGAAATCTGGCCAAGTTTATTAGTGGACCAAATCCATGACAACCCAGAGTTGAGACCAGGAGGCAGAGTCGCAGTTTAACACACTTCACTGCTCCTCCATTTCAGGAGTTACTTAGTGAAAATCCTATAGTGACGGTGTCTGCCCCCCCGACCATTGAAATTATTTAAATCAAAGGTAAACAGAAGAGGAGCTGTGCGTAAAAACCTCATAAAAATTAAAACCACAAGAGCAATAGTGCAAATGAATAGGAGAGTTAAATGTGGACTCATCATCAGTAGTCTCAACATCAGATCTCTCGCTTCTAAAGGTGTACTAGTAAATGAACTAATATCAGATTATGATATTGATTTATTTTGTCTTACTGAAACCTGGCTGGGTGATGGAGAATATGTTAGCCTAAATGAATCCACCCCTCCCAGTCATATTAATACTCACATTCCTCGAGGCACAGGCCGAGGAGGTGGAGTTGCAGCTATCTTCGACTCTACCCTACTAATCAGCTCTAAACCTAAACTAAATTAGAATTTATTTGAAAGTCTTGTTCTTAGTCTTTCACACCCTAGTTTTGATATCACTGCAACCAATTCTCTTCGTTATAGTGTACCGAGCACCTGGTCCGTACTCTGAATTGTTACCTGAATTTGCAGAGTTTTTGTCAACTTTAGTCCTTAAAACGGACAAAGTTATTATTGTAGGGGATTTTAATATTCATGTGGACGTTGAGAATGACAGCTTCAGTACTGCGTTTATCTCTCTGTTAGATTCCATTGGCTTCTCTCAGTTTGTTCATGAACCGACTCACTGTTTTAACCACACCCTCGAACTTGTTTTGGTATATGGTGTTGAAATAGAACATTTAAAACGGACAAAGTTATTATTGTAGGGGATTTTTATATTCATGTGGACGTTGAGAATGACAGCTTCAGTACTGCGTTTATCTCTCTGTTAGATTCCATTGGCTTCTCTCAGAGTGTTCATGAACCGACTCACTGTTTTAACCACACCCTCGACCTTGTTTTGGTGTATGGTATTGAAATTGAACATTTAATAGTGTTCCCATAGAATCCCTCTTTATCCGACCACGGTTTGATAACTTTTGAGTTTGTATTTCTGAACTACACACCATTGGGCAAAAATTTCTATACAAGATGTCTGTCTGATGTAGCTAAATTTAAGGATACGATTCCATCAGCTCTAAATTCATTATCAAGTCACAAAGTAACGGAGGACTCCTATGCTAATTTCAGTCTCTCCCAAATCAATCATCTTGTTAGTGCTGCAGGCTCGCTGCAAATGACACTCGACTCTGTAGCCCCTCTAAAAAAGAAAATACTAAAACAAAGACGGTTAGCTCCATGGTATAATACTGAAACTCGCAAATTAAAGCAAATATTGCGGAAACTTGAGAGGAATTGGCGTTCCACCAAACTGGTTCTCTCATTTAATTAGGCAAGATAGTCTTAAAACTTATAGGAAGGCCCTCCGTAATGCCAGAGCAGCGTACTACTCGTCATTAATAGAGGAAAATAGGAACAACCCCAGGTTTCTTTTCAGCACTGTAGCCAGGCTGACAGAGAGTCACAGCTCTATTGAGCCAAGTATTCCCATAGCTCTCAGTAGTTACGACTTCATGAGCTTCTTTAATGATAAAATTCTAGCTATTAGAGACAAAATTTACCAAGACCTGCCCTCAACTGGCACCAACTTATCTCTAAACTCAGGAAACTTTGAAACAGCTGTTGAACCAGATATATGTTTAGACTGTTTTGCTTCCCTCAATCTTTACCAACTAACAATAATTTCTTCATCTAAACCATCAACCTGCCTCTTAGACCCCATCCCGACTAGGTTGCTTAAAGATGTTTTACCCTTAGTCAGCACTTCAATGCTAGATATGATCAATCTATCTTTATCAACAGGCTATGTACCACAGTACTTTAAAGTAGCTGTAATTAAACCTCTTCTGAAAAAGCCCAAACTTGATCAGGATGTTTTAGCCAACTATAGACCTATATCTGAACTTCCATTTCTCTCTAAGGTTCTGGAGAAAGCAGTTGCTAAACAGCTGTGTGACTTTCTACAGAGCAATAGTTTATTTGAGGATTTTCAGTCAGGATTTAGAGCTCATCATAGCACAGAGACAGCACTGGTGAAAATTACTAACGACCTCCTTATTGCATCAGACCGCTCTAAGCTGGTTTAAGTCCTATTTATCAGATCGATTTAAGTTTGTACATGTTAACGAGTCCTCCATGCACGCCAAAGTTAGTCATGGAGTTCCTCAAGGATCTGTCCTCGGACCAATCCTCTTCACTTTATATATGCTTCCTTTAGGCAATTATTATCAGGAAATATTCCATAAACTTCCATTGTTATGCAGATGATACTCAGTTATATCTATTGATCAAGCCAGATGAAACTCATCAGTTAGCTAAACTTCAGATGTGCCTTCAGGATGTTGAAATCTGGATGACCTGTAATTTTCTAATGTTAAACTCAGATAAAACTGAAGTTATTGTTCTGGGGCCTAAACACCTCCGTGACGCATTATCAAAAGATATAATTTCCCTTGATGGCATCGCCCTGGCCTCCAGCACCACTGTGAGGAATCTTGGAGTTATCTTTGATCAGGACATGTTGTTTAAGTCTCACATTAAGCAAATTTCAAGGACTGCCTTTTTTTACCTACGTAATATTTCGAAAATCAGGAACATCCTGTCTTAAAATGATGCAGAAAAACTAGTCCATGCATTTGTTACTTCTAGGCTGGATTACTACAATTCTTTATTATCAGGCTGCTCGAAAAAGTCCGTTAAGACTCTTCAGCTGATCCAGAATGCTGCAGCACGTGTTCTGACAGGAACCAGGAAAAGAGATAATATTTTTGCTGTTTTAGCTTCTCTGCATTGGCTTCCAGTAAAATCCAGAATATAATTTAAAATCATTCTTCTTACCTACAAAGCTCTTAATGGTCAGGCACCATCTTATCTTAAAGAGCTCATAGTACCTTACTACCCCACCAGAGCACTGCGCTCCCAGAATGCAGGGTTACTTGTGGTTCCTAGAGTCTCCAAAAGTAGACTAGGAGCTGCTATAGGCCTAGACTGCCGGGGGATTTCCCATGATGCACTGAGCTCCTCTATGATTCTATATTGAATATAATCTGTGTGGTCATCATCAACATGTAAACCACCTGCTGCTCTTAACAAGCATTTTGAAGATTCAGCTCTTTTTTTGGGAGTCAGATCAGCAAAATCTCCTGAGTGTTTAAAGTCACAGCTGTCTTTTTAGTACGAGAGTTTTCATCTACACTTGATTTGTGATGCCTTGAACTGTTTTTGTTTATATTGTGCTGTCTACTGTTGTAATGTTGCTTTTAACTTGATATCCTTCTGTAAAGCATGTGGTAACCTAGGTTTTTAAAGGTGCTATATGAATGAAATGTTACTTATTGACTTACTCAGGAAATGTTATTTAATGTTTTACATCCAGCAGAGGTTCCCCTCTGTTTCCCTACAGTTCTTATCTCCAGTCATCTTGAAATGTAGGTTGTAAATCACTGCAGCAGAATGAAATTAATCAATGACAGTTTTTCTAAAATAGTTCATTTATAAATCCCTATAAACCTCATGGTGGGTCTGATCACTGAGACTTGATCCTCCATCACAGATTTATTTACTGAGCTATATCTTTAGCTCATCAGCTGGTTAGTTAGCAGCATCCAGTGGACAGAGAATGAAACTACACATCTGATCAGTGACGTTTCTGACACTGACTGGGTTTAGATGTTCTAAAGGAAAGATGTGACACTATCTCACGACCAAATTTAAAACTTATTTAAGAAATAAAAGCTTTTGTCCTTGTAGCCTTCATCAAATAACAAAACATCCAGACCCGTTTTGACGTCCCTCTGATGTTTTTTAGACTCTGAAGTTATGAGGCTGTGACGGCGTCCTCAGATCAGATGCACACAGACACCAGGACTGACGAGGAAGAAATGAGCAGCTTCTTCTCTCCCAGTGTTTCCTCCACACATGAAGGTGCAAAGTGTCTGTAAGTCGACCTGAAGTGAGTTCAGCAGGTGAGAATCCGACCAGAGGAATCTGTAAATGTCTGATAATCAGGATCACTTTGATCACATTGTGCTGGATCACTGTTTAACTGGACAGTAGAAATGCTTCTTGATGCTGATTGGCTGTTTCTAAATATCTCTTTGAAATCTGCTGTAGAATTTCTCTCCGAGTTAAAGAACAATGATTTCAGAAAGATTTCCCTGTAATATTGTTCATGTTTCTCAAGTAGAATCAGCAGCAGTCTGATTGTAGTCTGAGCTCACATCATCAGTGAAACATGCAGGGTGTGTCTGAACTGGTCTGACAGCTTGGATCCACTTGGCTCAGGTTTCTGGTTTAACTGTTAATACTCTGAAGTTAAGTGCATGGATGAAGAGTTCAGGGCTCAAATACAGACATCTTCCAACACTGAGACGGACTTGGTTTCACTGAAGACCCTTTAGAACAGTCCAGGGGCCTCATGTATAAAAGCCATCTGTCAGCCATCGGCGATGGCATTGTGATTGTAAAACCCCGTCCCCCCGTCCAAAAAGAAATCTAAATTTTTCACATTATACCGCTATGTGAAAGCAGGTTTTAATCACAACGAACATTATTATTAAAGAGGCCTACACCTCAGGTAAACACACCGGCTAATACCGGGGAAAGGCAGCCTGCAGTTGGCACTTGGCTAATTTTATTTCTTTTACAATTGAAAGGTGCAGTATGGAATAGTTATGGCTGACTAGTGCGAGCACAATTAACACTGCTGGTTTGAATGTTTACATGATAAAGTGGTAACATGTGAAATGAAGTGAAATTAAATATGTGAAAGTCATCATGATCTATTTTTCTCACATTCAATTTTATTTTGATATTAAACCACTACATACATGATCAAACCTTTGTCAAAAGACATAATTAGGATTTTGATAGACTACTCCATTGACATCTGCACAGTAATTGCAGTGGAAACACTATTTTGAAACATTTGGTGAGTTTTGGCACTTTAGCAGTTTACTGACAGCCAGACAAAAGTTTGTGGAGGGACTTCACATTCTCACATCACGTTCATTTTTATACATCCCACGTGTGCGTGAAAACCAGCGTACGTAACCTTTTTATACGTAGGCAGCGTTTATACATGAGGCCCCAGGTCTCAGCTGTACCAGAGGCTCCAGGACCCTTTCTAGATGGACCAGAGCCAGCCCAGGGTGGAGGGGAACTTAGAGGTTGATTAGGGCCCCTCAGTCATCAGGGGCCCTCACAGGAATAAAGAAGGACCAAAGTAAAAATCAGCCATCCTGTGTCTCTCTGGTCATGATTTAAACATTTAAAGACAGAAATAAAGATTTAAAGACACAGACCTTGAGGAGAACTAAAGTGTCCTGAGATGTAAAGCTTGTTGTAATGAATGAGTGCAGCTCTCTCAGCATGTTGTTGTGTTTGTGTGAAGGTGTGGGCTCTGCTATGAATCAGTGTGAGGACAGAGAGGAGGGAGTCCCTCCCTCTAAAAGCACTCTGTGTGGGGAACATGACAGCCAGACCAAAGCTCAGAGGTGAGATGAGGATCTCTAACTGTCCAGGACTCAAATCACTCCGCCATCATTATTCACTCTCAAAGCTCTGTGTGTGTTGTGTTGAAGCCCAGAGCAGCAGCAGGGACCAGACTCTGCTGGACCTGGACCTGAACCTGGACCCAGCTGTGTGTCCATCAAGAGTGACCGGTCTAAGGGCAAAATTATTGACTTCAAAGGTGGACACCACTCTGCTGATCAAAGGTCAGCATGTTAAATGTTTGTGTCTCTCCTGAGATGAGGTTTGGTGTCTTTGATTTGATCACTTCATGTTCTTAACTCTTCACTTTTTTCAAACTGGTCTCACATTTTGCAGATCTTAGTCCAAATATCAAAACCACAGTTAAAATCCACAAAGAGCTGGATGCAGGTTTGAGAATGTATAAGAACATTGTCTATGGAGCCTCCTCTTGCTCAATGGAGGTGAATGAAGTTTAGTTTTGAGCTACTAACAGTAAAGATGCAGCTGGACAGATAAACAACAACTGAAAGTCGCTATAAAACTCTGTATCGCTGAGAAACTGCAGATTCAGCTGAAAACTCACTACCAGAGACACCAACACATAAATATATCTATTAAATCTGCTTTGAGGACACATCTGATTTGTTATTTCATTGTTCAGGATCCATCGGAAGAGACCAGATTCTCCTGGACCCAGCTGTGTGTCCATGAACAGCGACCGTCATGTCCCTGTTCACTTCAAAGCTGGACATAATGATGCTGAACAAAAGTAAGAATCTTAAATGTTTGTGTTGTTTTGTTGACTCTCCTAAAAAGAGCTCTCAGGTAGGTCTTGGTTCAGCACTGTTCTTTGTTGGTTAAAAATAATAATAGACTCTTTATTTATTCCCAGAGGGAAATTCTCATGTCACATCAGCAGCACAGAAATGAACCAGGTTCAAAGAACAGTGCAAAACAAATGTCAAACACATGCTAACATTAAAGTAAAAATATTAAAAGTATGAGCATGCCCTTTTGTCTGTAACTGTAAGTCCAGTTAGAGTCCAGTAGGACCTCAGCAGCCTCCCCGTCCACTGATGTCCACACTGAGACACAGCTGGATGAGTAAAACAGCAGCATTTTCTCCTGTCCAGTCTACCCTGCACCCAGCGGTGTTTCCATGGAAAGTGACCAGATCATACATTTTTATACCAAGATCTGGTATAGGTGTATGAGGATCTGTTTCTACCAGATATAACACAGCACATGTAACACTGTTTGTCATTATATGTTCAAATCATCATATTTCTTCACAGAGTTGATGAGCAGAGCTCAGAGGTTCCCAGTGGTCAGTCTGCCCAGCAGCATCAAACAGACCTGGACTCCATATTTATGGTGTGTAAATGTACAAGCTCAGCTACTACTGCTAATTACAGGAGCCAGCACAAAAATGTCATTGAAATTATTTCTATAAATTATTTTATATTTAATTTCTGGATGATGTTCACAGGCAGCCATAATCCGTAATGCTGCAGTCAGTCCCAGCTGATAACCTATTGTGAGATCAGATATTTTAGAGGAAAACTAGAATATGTTGGAGCTAACAGGAATACGCTCAGTCTGGGTGCTAGTTCTGTTTGTCACAGCAGAACGTCTCGGGTTACGTATGTAACCCTGGTTCCCCGAGAAGGGGAACGAGAGACTGCGTCGGTTACGACACTATGGGAACGCCTCTAGGCGAAGCAGGTCTGAACGTGAATGAAATCACTCCAATCCTATTGGCCTGTTGCTAGAACGGTAAGGTGTGACGGAATAACCGGAGGAGTATAAAGCACACCTGTACACACTCATCATTAGCTTAAACTATGAAGCAGGCGCTTCAGGCGGGGAGAGAGGTGCGGCGGGCCGACGCAGTCTCTCGTTCCCCTTCTCGGGGAACCAGGGTTACATACGTAACCCGAGACGTTCCCCTTCGAGGGAACTCGAACTGCGTCGGTTACGACACTATGGGAACGAGATACCCACTAAACCGTGCCGAAAACCCCGCCTGCCCCTGTGTGCAATAAAGTGGCACTACTAAGAGGAGAGCGCACGAGTGCCAGGTGCCGAAGGAAGGTCAAGACTGTAAAACCGAATGAATGTGTGCGGAGTGGCCCAGCCAGCCGCTAAACAAACATCCTGCAAGAGGCCCCGGAAAGGAGGGCTCGAGAGGCCGCCTTGCCTCTGGTAGAATGAGCCCTCACAGCCACAGGTGAAGGCAAACCGCGCACCTGATAGGCCAGGGAAATAGACTGAACAATCCAGTTGCTAATAGTATGTTTGGATGCAGGGAGCCCGGCCCTGGGAGACCCAAAACACACTAGCAGCTGGTCAGCCTTCCTCCAACGGGAGGACCTCAGAGTGTAAATAATCAGTGCTCTGACAGGGCAGAGCAGATGAAGTCTCCCGTCCTCCGCCGTCACATGAGGTGGAGGATGAAATGCCTGCAGCACTGTGGACCCTGCCGCACAAGAAGGCACTTTAGGGATGTATCCTGAACGAGGGTGCAGGATAGCCCTAATATTCCCCGGGGCAAACTCCAGGCTTTGCGGGGAAACCGAAAGCGCTTGGAGCTCCCCACCCTCCTCAGAGAGGTGATAGCAAGGAGAAAGGCCATCTTGAGGGTCAAGTGCTTAGCCTCAGCTGACTCCAGGGGTTTGAAGGGGGCCTCAGCCAACGCCCCAAGAACCACTGCCAGATCCCAAGTGGGAACCTTGGACCGAGTCGCAGGTCTCATCCTCCGGGCACCACGGAGGAAAAGTACAACCAAGGGAAGTTTCCCCAAGAACCCCTCCCTCAGAGGGGTGTGGAAAGATGAAATAGCTGCCACGTACACCTTGAGGGTGGAAGGGGAAAGACCAGCAGAGAACCGGTCCTGGAGGAACTCAAGTACCTGAACCACCGGGCAGGTAACAGGGTCCACCGACCGCTCCCTACACCAAGTGGAGAAAACACTCCACTTCAGGCCGTACATCCTCCGTGTGGACGGGGCCCTGGAGCTCAGGAGGGTCTCGACTGCTCCGGCTGTTAGACCCGCCTCTAGGTACTGTGCCCCCTCAGGGGCCAGACCCACAGTCGCCATATGGCGGGGCAAGGGTGAAGAACCCGGCCCTGCGCCTGGGACACCAGGTCTCTCCTCAGAGGGACGCGCCACGGCGGGCCGTCCAGGAGCGACATGATGTCCGAGAACCACACCCGGGTTGGCCAGAACGGGGCTACGAGCAGTAGGCCGACATAGTCCTGGCGGACCCGCTCCAGAACCCCGGGAGCAGAGCGACTGGGGGAAAAGCGTACACACGTAGCCTCGGCCACGAATGTACCATGGCGTCCAGACCCAACGGGGCTGGAGGAACGAGAGAAACCATAGCGGGCAGTGCGTAGTCTCTTGAGACGCAAACAGATCCACGTCTATGGGGCCGAACTCTTCGCACAAGAGCTCCACCACTTCGGGGTGAAGTCTCCATTGCCCGGGCCTCAGCCCCTGCCTCAACAGCAGGTCTGCTCCCTGATTCTGCGTCCCCAGGAGATACATCGCCCTGAGCGATAGTAACCTCTGCTGGGACCACAGGAGGATCTGACGCGCCAGTCTGTCCAGAGGGCGCGAGCGCAGACCGCCCTGGTGATTCAGATAGGCCACCACCGCTGTGCTGTTCTCCTCGGAACGAACCAGGACGTGGTGGCCTTGGAGGTCGGGCAGGAAACTCCTTAGAGCCTGGAACACCGCCAACATCTCGAGACAGTTGATATGCCACTCGGATCGATGCACCTGCCAGGATCCCCTTGCAAAGCGGCCGTCCATGACCGCGCCCCCGCCCGTGAGGGAGGCGTCTGTCGAAATAACCAGCCGGCGACAAGACCCTCCCAGCATGGGCCCCTGGGACAGGAACCAAGTTTCCTTCCAAACTGATAGGGAACGAAGACACTTGCGCGTAACCCAAACCAGACGGAGAGGATTCCCCTCGGGGAAAAACCCTTGTTCCTTAGCCACCACTGCAGGGGTCTCATGTGCAGCAGTCCAGATGGTATTACGCTGGACGCAGCCGCCAGGAGACCCAACACTCGTTGAAAGTGTTTCATAGTGATGGCGTGGCCTAACTTCACCCCTTTCACGGCAGCCAATATGGTGTCGACACGTGCCGGAGACAATTGTGCCCGCATCGTTGTCGAATCCCATGCAACCCCATGGAACGTAGCCCGTTGGGTGGGCGCCAGCACGCTCTTCTTTGCGTTGAGCCTCAGCCCTAAACGCCGCAGACGAGCCAGAACGACATCTCGATGCCGAACCGCCAACTCTCGAGACTGGGCTAGGATGAGCCAGTCGTCGATGAAGTTGAAATCCGGATGCCCCGGAGCCTCAGCGGGGCCAGTGCTGCATCCATACACTTGGTGAATGTGCTAGGGGAAGTGCCAGGCCGAATGATTTACTCAGTTCATCATGTAAATCAGGAAAGAATGGCAGAGACCGGCGTGGAGGTGGCGTGTGGTGCTTAAGAAACCTTTCATCAAGCTACCACTAGCCTGTGGTGTCTGCTCCTCCCGTGGCCAGTTGATGTTGAGCTTAGCCACGGCTCTAGTCACCACCTCCAGCAGCACGTCATAGTCGGGCGCGGCCAGATGACGCCGCCCCGACACCCGGAAGTCATGGTCCACTGCGCTGAGCACGTCCGCCTCCTCGGAGTCGGATTGCTGCAGCGTCTCCGGATCCAAACCGCGAGCGGGAGAAGCCGAGAACGGGCTCCCAAACGAGGAAAGGAAGCGTCGGAGCCAGCGGATGAAGGTCGGGAAAAAGCCTCAGCCGTCCCGAAATCCTCCAACAGATCACGCTGTGAACCCATGAGTGAAGCCGCTGGGCCGCCTCAGCGGCCGCAGGGCCCGCGCCACGGGGAAAACACATCCGGCCATCCTCGGAAAAGAGAGCCATGCTGTACGTCAGTACCCGCACGGAAAGGGCTTCGCAACGGGCGCAGGCAGCCCCCTCGAGAGCTGCCCGTGCGTGCTCCATCCCCAAACATGAGACACACATCTCATGAGAATCTCCATCCGTGATGTACCGAGGGCAAGAAAAAACACACCTTCTGTACATCTGGTTGCCGGACATGCTGGTAGACTTCTTCTTCAGGTAAGACACACTGCTTGTAGGACTGGAGCTTTCTTCAAACAACATACAGAGCGCCTGCTGAATAAAAAAAAAAGCTAATGATGAGTGTGTACAGGTGTGCTTTATACTCCTCCGGTTATTCCGTCACACCTTACCGTTCTAGCAACAGGCCAATAGGATTGGAGTGATTTCATTCACGTTCAGACCTGCTTCGCCTAGAGGCGTTCCCATAGTGTCGTAACCGACGCAGTTCGAGTTCCCTCGAAGGGGAACATCACTTAAGACCAAATATGAAATAAAGAGCTGAGAGAGGGTTGATATGCTGTTTATTTCTTCCCTCTGCAGTAACAACATAACAGAATGTATGTTTAGCTGCATCGACACAAAGATACAAAAATACTCTTTTTCATTCACGCACTTGTTATGAAAGTTATTGCACTGCACAACTGTAGTCCATCACTCCACCAGCTCACTGATACGCACCAATTTTAACTGTGTGACGTCAGTTAGGCTACACTACCACCGCAGGGCTCCCACTATAGAATAACCAGCACCATATGGAAACAGTCCTCAATAACACCAACTTGTTCTACAGAACATCTGACTGATACACTCAGTATCAACATTTCTGTGATTTGCTTAATTTGTTCTTTAACAGCATTTACTCATTATGTAGAAATCTCAGCAAGCAATATGTTTCCTTTAAAAATATTATAGGAGACAGGGCAGTCCACAAAGTAAATAGTGAAGCAGCATTCTGATCCAGTCTCCATGCTGCACTCTGCAGACCAGCAGGCTTTCTGTCTGTCACAGATGATCTGATGTTGACTTCTACCAGTTCAACTTTACATTTTCTTCTGTTCCAGCTGCTCCAGGAAAACATTGGCAGGTTTGTGAAGAACGAGGTGAAGAAGTTCCAGAGAGTTCTGAGTCCAGATTACCCAGAATGCTTAGAGAGTCAGAGGGAGGATGAGGAGGTGTTGGACGGTGAGGAGGAGGAGCAGAGGAGGAGCAGCAGAGAGGCATTTCTGAAGATCACACTGCACTTCCTGAGGAGAATGAAGCAGGAGGAGCTGGCTGAGCGTCTGCAGAGCAGTAAGAGGATTTGAACAGATTTAACATGATGGAAAGAGGAAATGGAGGCAACATGGGAGAAGTTTCCATTTCAAACTCTGCTGTTAATATGATGCACACATTTGGATCAGATCTATGAATTCTTCTGGGCTGAAACTCAGAAACTGTTCACAGCTGATGAGCTGAAGAGATTTCATGGAGGAGGAAAATAAATACCATCTTGATGTCTTAAAGTTTACATTTATCAGATTTACTGTAGCATCCACTTATTAATCACATTTCTTCTTTCTTCATTCAGGAACTGCTGCTGCAGTGTGCCGACGTAAACTCAAGTGTAACCTGAAGAAGAAGTTCCAGTGTGTGTTTGAGGGGATTGCTAAAGCAGGAAACCCAACCCTTCTGAACCAGATCTACACAGAGCTCTACATCACAGAGGGAGGGACTGCAGAGGTCAATGATGAACATGAGGTCAGACAGATTGAAACAGCATCCAGGAAACCAGACAGACCAGAAACAACCATCAGACAAGAAGACATCTTTAAAGCCTCACCTGGAAGAGATGAACCAATCAGAACAGTGATGACAAAGGGAGTGGCTGGCATTGGGAAAACAGTCTTAACACAGAAGTTCACTCTGGACTGGGCTGAAGACAAAGCCAACCAGGACATACAGTTCACATTTCCATTCACTTTCAGAGAGCTGAATGTGCTGAAAGAGAAAAAGTACAGCTTGGTGGAACTTGTTCATCACTTCTTTCCTGAAACCAAAGAAGCAGGAATCGGCAGGTTTGAAGAGTTCCAGGTTGTGTTCATCTTTGACGGTCTGGATGAGTGTCGACTTCCTCTGGACTTCCACAACAATGAGGTCCTGACTGATGTTACAGAGTCCACCTCAGTGGATGTGCTGCTGACAAACCTCATCAGGGGGAACCTGCTTCCCTCTGCTCGCCTCTGGATAACCACACGACCTGCAGCAGCCAATCAGATCCCTCCTGAGTGTGTTGACATGGTGACAGAGGTCAGAGGGTTCACTGCCCCACAGAAGGAGGAGTACTTCAGGAAGAGGTTCAGAGATGAGAAGCAGGCCAGCAGAATCATCTCCCACATCAAGACATCACGAAGCCTCCACATCATGTGCCACATCCCAGTCTTCTGCTGGATCACTGCTACAGTTCTGGAGGAGGTGTTGAAGACCAGAGAGGGAGGAGAGCTGCCCAAGACCCTGACTGAGATGTACATCCACTTCCTGGTGGTTCAGTCCAAACTGAAGAACATCAAGTATGATGGAGGAGCTGAGACAGATCCACACTGGAGTCCAGAGAGCAGGAAGATGATTGAGTCTCTGGGAAAACTGGCTTTTGAGCAGCTGCAGAAAGGAAACCTGATCTTCTATGAATCCGACCTGACAGAGTGTGGCATCGATATCAGAGCAGCCTCAGTGTACTCAGGAGTGTTCACACAGATCTTTAAAGAGGAGAGAGGGCTGTACCAGGACAAGGTGTTCTGCTTCGTCCATCTGAGCGTTCAGGAGTTTCTGGCTGCTCTTCATGTCCATCTGATCTTCATCAACTCTGGTGTCAATCTGCTGGCAGAAGAACAATCAAAATCCTGGCTGTCTAAAGTCTTCAGAAACAAACCTGAATTAACACATCTCTATCAGAGTGCTGTGGACAAGGCCTTACAGAGTCCAAATGGACACCTGGACTTGTTCCTCCACTTCCTCCTGGGTCTCTCACTGCAGACTAATCAGACTCTCCTACGAGTTCTGCTGACACAGACAGGAAGTAGTTCACAGACCAACCAGAAAACAGTTGAGTACATCAAGAAGAAGATCAGTGAGAATCTGTCTCCAGAGAGAAGCATCAATCTGTTCCACTGTCTGAATGAACTGAATGATCGTTCTCTAGTGGAGGAGATCCAACAGTCCCTGAGTTCAGGAAGTCTCTCCACAGATAAACTCTCTCCTGCTCAGTGGTCAGCTCTGGTCTTCATCTTACTGTCATCAGAAAAAGATCTGGACGTGTTTGACCTGAAGAAATACTCTGCTTCAGAGGAGGCTCTTCTGAGGCTGCTGCCAGTGGTCAAAGCCTCCAACAAAGCTCTGTAGGTGGATAAATGGATGTGCAATTTCTAAAAATGTATATTTGACAATAAAACATTTTGTTTGTGTCCATTGCTAATCCTTTTTCAGGTTGAGTGGCTGTAATCTCTCAGAGAGAAGCTGTGTAGCTCTGTCCTCAGTTCTCAGCTCCCAGTCCTCTAGTCTGAGAGAGCTGGACCTGAGTAACAACAACCTGCAGGATTCAGGAGTGAAGCTGCTGTCTGCTGGACTCGAGAGTCCACACTGTACACTGGAAACTCTCAGGTTAGTAATAAGCTGTTTCTTTTAAATCCTCCTCATCTGGTTTTAGGTTCAGTTAGTGAAAATGGTCTGTAGGATTTTCCTGCTGACATGATTTTCTAAAACACAGAGTTTATGATTCCAGTCTGTCAGGCTGTCTGATCACAGAGGAAGGCTGTGCTTCTCTGGCCTCAGCTCTGATCTTCAACCCCTCCCATCTGAGAGAGCTGGACCTGAGCTACAATCATCCAGAAGACTCAGGGGTGAAGTTGCTGTCTGCTGGACTGGAGGAGCCACACTGGAGACTGGACACTCTCAGGTTTGGACAGACAGCAAGAGCTCACACACTGCAGGTGTCTCTATTTTCTGTTATTTTCTGTCTGTCTACTGGAGTCCATCATCATGAAGGACTTCTTATTCCTTCTCATTCTGTTCAGAGCAGTGAGTAGGCCTGAGATAGGAAACACATGGCTCTCCAGAAGTCTTATCGATTGGAAACCATTAAAAACATCAGAAACTTGGATGTAAAATCATTCTAATGTGAGACCTGCTTGCAGCATGGCTCTATGGATAGAATCAGGGGTGGACTGGTAATCTGGCATACCAGGTAAATGCCTTGTGGGCCCACGAAACTTTGGGGCCAGTGTAACATAAATTACTTATTTATTCAACTAACAAAAAATGGGCCAACGGTCGGCCCATAAAGCATGTGCCGCAGCACATTGGGTAATTTTCTATACTGACATTGGGCTGGCCCAATCACATCTCTTACTCTTACATTTTTATATTCTGAATCATCACTTGCCAACTGAATTTGTGCTTCCCTTTACATAAATAAAGACATTCCACCATAAATTGGTGCAGAAAATATCCCCAGAATGCAGGAAATTAAGTGTTTAATGCTCAAAATAGTATTCAAATATATTCTTGTCTTGTTCTTGTGACGCCAATCTTGTGCAATGTCGCATCTCATGGGCAAAGTGTGTCGTCACCCCCCTAATCTGAGCCCTTAAATGTCCCCACCACTGTTCAACACAAAGTGAAGCCCTTGGGTAGGATGTGTGCCATGCTGTAGTGACAATGATGATGATTACTTCAATTAAGGTTTTCAACCTCGAAGCTCCTTTATTGATCAAGTACCGTGGTAGCATCCACACACTGGGGTTGGGCCGATAGACGATGCCATCGGTGATGGCTGATGGCTGGTGAAGGCAGGATTTAATCCCCAAAAACATTATCATTATCATTTTTAAAAATACCTGGTTTGCACCTGTCTCTGAATTCTCTTCTCTCCACACTCACACACACCTAACGTTACATCTCTGTCTCTCTCCACCTGTCTGCTCCACTTTCTCCATCAGCAGTGTGTTTTATAAAGTCGCCTAAAACACACAGAACTGGTCTTTTTTCATATTGTTCCACCCGTGATCTGTTATCACGGCAGCAGGTGAGCCGCATGCCGGCTTGTTAATGACGTAGCCTATGAAACAACCGAAACCATCTGCACTCTAGTGCCTGCTGTTGCATTACCTGGTCCGTGACTTGTAACGTAATAATGGAGTGCCAAGATTTTTACTGAGTGAAGTCTGTGCGAGTCAAGAGATGCAATAAAATTACTGTTATTATTGTTAATAATAAAATGTACTTCAAAGAACGGAGCACTTCCTGAAGGCTACCATGCCGACCAATCACAGTTCTTGCTGTCTGTCTTTTTTTCTTCCTTTTTAATAATATAATAATATATATAATTCACATTAGGGATACCAATGTATTTATAGCTAGGGGGTACAATAACAGAACAATACAGCGAAAATAAATAAGGATATCACAGATATCTGTGAAGGTTCTCAGAAGGTTAAAGTCAAGGGCAACTGGACTTGGTTGAAGGATATCACAGACCTTTAAGCGAGTACAGACATTAAGGAGCCTATCTTCAAAGCCTTTCTGTTGGAGGAGAAACTAAACAAAAATAAAGTTTCTTTCTCAAAGACTATAAATGGGGTTTTTGTTTGTAAATTTGCATTTGTGTTTATGAAATTTAGCCAGAAACAACATAAAATTGATTAAGAAATAATGGTCGCAGTGTTACACTAAAAAAGATATTCTGCCAGAACCAGCAGAAACCTGAATATATCTAATCATTAATAAATGTACATACTGTACATCCTGACAAAACATATGTAATGCCGTTTCTGTATGAGTCTCACAGAAGGTACAGTTCTGCATCGCCGCGACATGTTGTTGCATTTTTGGGGAGGTGCAGGTCAGGTTACAGCTTAGATTCGACGTGTAGACACCACAGTCCAAAATTATGATTTTGCTGCATTTAAAAAAGAGCTCTGCCGGAGAACTTTCATCAATGTATCAATCAATTGAGTTTATAGAGCACTTTAAACAGGGTTGGAGTTACGTGGGAGCCAGTGGGAGCTCAGCTCCCATAAGGAGGTCTGAGCTCCCATGGAAGCAGTAAAATCAGCATCTGTTGCGGTCACTAATTCATTCATCAACAACCATTATTTTGAATCACACATAATGTATTTTTATTGTTATATTGTTATTATTCACATTAAAAAGATAAACAGACTTAAATGAACATACTTTCCTAATGAACTAATGTTACGCTGCGCACCGCATGACTGACAGGATGGTTCCACTTCTCCACCATCAACCACTATGGTGCGCAGTATAGATTTGACTGAACAGGTCTGAGACCGCGACCCGCAAACATTTGGTGTACTGGGACTTTTTCAAGTTGCCGGTCCTCTCCTCTGCCCTCTCCACATCAGGTTCTCTGGGCGCTATGCATGGGCGTAAGTTTCATCTCACAGTAGGGGGGGGGAAGTAAACATAAAATTTCACGAGAGCAATTTTTGAGGGGGACACAAAAATACAGCCAAAATTGTACTTGCAGGCCTATAGGATGCGTGTACACAGAGAGAAGTCTTACTACTATTTTATATATAACACAAAGCAATAGTTGTTTAAATATGACTCAAGTTATTTATGATAATACGGCTGTGTGGTGAACCTATGAACTTAAGTCATCTAGGCTACATAGTAATTTAGGTTTCTTCTGGGACAGAGGATGTTTCTTACACACATATCTATCTAATACACTGCTCAAAAAATACTAGAAACTAAAATATCACATCCTAGATCTGAATGAAATAATCTCATTAAATACTCCTTTCTTTACATAGTTGAATGTGCTGACAACAAAATCACACAAAAATTATCAATGGAAATCAAATCTATCAACCCATGGAGGTCTGGATTTGGAGTCACACTCAAAATCAAAGTGGAAAACCAAACTACAGGCCGATCCAACTTTGATGTAATGTCCTTAAAACAAGTCAAAATGAGGCTCAGTAGTGTGTGTGGCCTCCACGTGCCTGTATGACCTCCCTACAACGCCTGGGCTCCTGATGAGGTGGCGGATGGTCTCCTGAGGGATCTCCTCCCAGACCTGGACTAAAGCATCCGCCAACTCCTGGACAGTCTGTGGTGCAACGTGGCGTTGGTGGATGGAGCGAGACATGATGTCCCAGATGTGCTCAATTGGATTCAGGTCTGGGGAACGGGCGGGCCGGTCCATAGCATCAATGCCTTCCTCTTGCAGGAACTGATGACACACTCCAGCCACATGAGGTCTAGCATTGTGTTGCATTAGGAGGAACCCAGGGCCAACCGCACCAGCATATGGTCTCACAAGGGGTCTGAGGATCTCATCTCGGTACCTAATGGCAGTCAGGCTACCTCTGGCGAGCACATGGAGGGCTGTGCGGCCCCCCAAAGAAATGCCACCCCACACCATTACTGACCCGCCGCCAAAGCGGTCATGCTGGAGGATGTTGCAGGCAGCAGAACGTTCTCCACGGCGTCTCCAGACTCTGTCACGTCTGTCACATGTGCTCAGTGTGAACCTGCTTTCATCTGTGAAGAGCACAGGGCGCCAGTGGCGAATTTGCCAATCTTGGTGTTCTCTGGCAAATGCCAAACGTCCTGCACGGTGTTGGGCTGTAAGCACAACCTCCACCTGTGGACGTCGGGCCCTCGTACCACCCTCATGGAGTCTGTTTCTGACCGTTTGAGCAGACACATGCACATTTGTGGCCTGCTGGAGGTCATTTTGCAGGGCTCTGGCAGTGCTCCTCCTGCTCCTCCTTGCACAAAGGCGGAGGTAGCGGTCCTGCTGCTGGGTTGTTGCCCTCCTACGCCCTCCCCCACGTCTCCTGATGTACTGGCCTGTCTCCTGGTAGCGCCTCCGTGCTCTGGACACTACGCTGACAGACACAGCAAACCTTCTTGCTACAGCTCGCATTGATGTGCCATCCTGGATGAGCTGCACTACCTGAGCCACTTGTGTGGGTTGTGTGACTGACTTGGAGTTACATTGTGTTGTTTAAGTGTTCCCTTTATTTTTTTGAGCAGTGTATATGTATATATATATATATATATAATTTATATTTCTAAATATTATGTTTTGTCTATTTTACACCAAGTTTGTGATCTTTAGATTGCGTAAATCTCATCTTTGTTAGCACTTTCCAACTAAAAGTTTGACCGGTCTTTCAAGAACTCTCCATATTGAATCATATATCATTTGAAAGTTTTCTACAGCACAACGTTAGCTAGTCCAAATCAAGTCATATTCCTCGCCCTTTAAAGCAGTTAGAGCATCATCATTTTACACACAGGTTTTTTAAAATATCTTATCATCCTTATTTCATGTGGCATTTTATCTGTAAATATAAATAATCCATGAAAAACAATATCTTGATAAACACTTCTGTAAATGTCTTGAGTCTTATCAATATGCTGGAAAATGGATTTGCCATACACAGACCTGTATGTGTAGCCAACAAAAGCACTTTCGTATGACGGTCACATCACGTACATCAAATCCTTGTGACTTTGCTGCAGGGGAATAAAGACACGAGACTGAGTTTACTTTCTATTGTGTCGCCTGAACAAAAAGCTCTTGTGAAAAGGATCAGGGTCCAGTCTGACCACCTCTTCCTCTAGTGAGGAGGAAACTTTGATATGTAGAGCAAGACATTTAACCCTTTGTTGCTACAGAGGCGTCAACCTCTGACATGTGTAGCAATTGTAAGTCGCTTTGGATGAAAGCGTCAGCTAAATGAATAAATGAAAGCAGAAAGTCAAATGTTAACAATATATATATATACAGTGGGGCCAAAAAGTATTTAGTCAGCCACTGATTGTGCAAGTTCTCCTACTTAGAAAGATGAGAGAGGTCTGTAATTTTCATCATAGGTACACTTCAACTATGAGAGACGAAATGAGAAAGAAAAATCCAGGAAATCACATTGTAGGATTTTTAATTTATTTATTTGTAAATTATGGTGGAAAATAAGTATTTGGTCACCACAAACAAGCAAGATTTCTGGCTCCCACAGACCTGTAACTTCTTCTTTAAGAAGCTCTTCTGTCCTCCACTCGTTACCTTTATTAATGGCACCTGTTTGATCTCGTTATCTGTATAAAAGACACGTGTCCACAGCCTCAAACAGTCAGACTCCAAACTCAACTATGGCCAAGACCAAAGAGCTGTCGAAGGACACCAGGAAGAAAATTGTAGACCTGCACCAGGCTGGGAAGAGTGAATCTACAAGAGGCAAGCAGGTTGGTGTGAAGAAATCAACTGTGGGAGCAATTGTAAGAAAATGGAAGACGTACAAGATCATTGATAATCTCCCTCGATCTGGGGCTCCACGCAAGATCTCATCCCGTGGGGTCAAAATGATCATGAGAACGGTGAGCAAAAATCCCAGAACTACACGGAGGGACCTGATGAATGACCTGCAGAGAGCTGGGACCAAAGTAACAAAGGCTACCATCAGTAACACACTACGCCGAGAGGGACGCCAGGCGTGTCCCCCCCCTGTACATGTCCAGGCCTGTCTGAAGTTTGCCAGAGAGCATATGGATGATCCAGAAGAGGACTGGGAGAATATCATGTGGTCAGATGAAACCAAAATAGAACTTTTTGGGTAAAAACTCAACTCGTCGTGTTTGGAGGAAGAAGAATGCAGAGTTGCATCACCATACCTACTGTGAAGCATGGGGGAGGAAACCTCATGCTTTGGGGCTGTTTTTCTGCAAAGGGAACAGGAAAACTGATCCGTGTTAAAGGAAGAATGAACGGGGCCATGTATCGTGAGATTTTAAGCCAAAACCTCCTCCCATCAGTGAGAGCGTTGAAGATGGAATGTGGCTGGGTCTTCCAGCATGACAATGATCTCCGTGACTCCGTGTTGCCCAGCGACAGCCCCAAAACATCACTGCTCTAGAGGAGATCTGCAGGGAGGAATGGGCCAAAATACCAGCTACAGTGTGCAAACCTGCTGAAGACTTACAGGAAACATTGACCTTGAGTACTGACCAAATACTTATATTCCACCATAATTTACAAATTCTTTAAAAATCCTACAATGTGATTTCCTGGAATTTTTTTCTCCTCATTTTGTCTCATAGTTGAAGTGTACCTATGACAAAACAGACCTCATCTTTCTAAATAGGAGAACTTGCACAATCAGTGGCTGACAATACTTTTTTGTGTATCTATCAAAATAAATCATACGTTTAAAATGTCATGCTTTTTTGACAAGCAGCACATCTATTAAAGTAACAATGTTTTTCCACTGGTTCTCAGTTTGTGAGGAAATACATTTTGTTGTAATATTTGGGCATTTCTCCCAGTAAGTAGGGGAGTTTGTCTGATTTAGATCTCTCACGTTGTTACTGTTTGGAGCAGGTCTTTATTCTTTTGCTACTCTGGAATGAAGTTGGTTCAATATAAACAAAGTAGCTCAGATGTAGTAAAGGACTTTTGCCATGTTGCTGTAGCTGAGCTTGCTACGTTTCTCCTGGTTGTAGCTTCAGTGTAGTGAAGCTTCATTTAATGTAGAGTTAACTGGTAGCTTGGCTCACTACATTTTCCAAGTGGTTTGTCCAACACTGTAAACACTAGTGTTTTGTTGACTATAAGTACAATTGTTAAATATTTAAAGCAAAACAAATGCGCACATTTAGATGCATATAATTATTTGCTGCTGAGAGAAACACCTTCTAGGTGCCTTTATTCTCTGTTAACTTCATCATTTAGCCTCATCTGTCTCTGTGAAATACAGTCCTTTATTGATATGAAATTCCCAAGTCAGTTTTATTAAGTGCAAAATCACAAACTTGTCTCAAAGCTTTACAATCTGTACATCATGTGGCCTCTCTGTCCTCAGACCCTCTGTTTCTGACAGAAATTACTCAATACATGTTGAATCTGATCTGAGAACAGTCTGGAAACAGCTTAGTTGTTCATGTGTGAATGCTGGTCAAACTGTTTATTTAGCAGGACAACATGCAGAGGACAATATTTGACATCCTGCTCTCATATTAGTTGTCTTCTTCTTCAAGACTTTTTCTGTCAGACAGTGAAAGAATCCTGGAGACAGTTGACACAGATGAGTTTCAGCCTGTTTCTCTGTCACACTGACAAACTGAGGAACACTGCTTCATGTTGAACAGCAGTTAGGACTCATGTTGGATAGAAAATCACTCTGACTGTGTTTCTTCCTCCAGGGTGGACCATGGTGGAGAGCAGAGGTTAAAACCTGGTCTGAGGAAGTGTAAGTGTGGATTCAATCTGACTCATGATGACAAAACAGCACACAGTCAGTTTCTCTTAATACAAAGTTGATAGTTGTATTTATTCATTCAAACATTACTGACTAAATGCATCATCATTAAACTTTATAGAAATGAACAACATCAGCACACAAACAAAGAATAAACCTTCAGATGTGTCTGATGATAAACTGCTGCTGTGTTGTGTCTCGTTCTCTCCATCAGATTTCTGTGAACTCACACTGGACACAAACACAGCAAACAGAAACCTCAAACTGTCTGACAACAACAGGAAGGTGACACATGTGAGAGAGAAGCAGCCATATTCTGATCATCCAGAGAGATCTGACTACTGGCCTCAGCTGCTGTGTAGAAATGGTCTGACTGGTCGTTGTTACTGGGAGGTCGAGTGGAGAGGAGGAGTTTCTATATCAGTGACTTACAGAGGAATCAGAAGGAGAGGAGAGAGTAAAAACTGTGTGTTTGGATGGAATGATCAGTCCTGGAGTCTGTTCTGCTCTGATGGTCGTTACTCTGTCTGTCACAATAACAGAAGAACAGACCTCCCTCTGTCGTCCTCCTCCTCCTCCTCCTCCTCCTCCTCCTCCTCCTCCTCTAACAGAGCAGCAGTGTATGTGGACTGTCCTGCTGGCACTCTGTCCTTCTACAGAGTCTCCTCTGACACACTGATCCACCTCCACACCTTCAACACCACATTCACTGAACCTCTTTATCCTGGGTTTGGGTTCTGTAATGACTCCTCAGTGTCTCTGTGTTCTGTGTAGGAGGGAGACAACTTCCAGTCCTGTGGTTTAAATGTTGGTGGTGGACGAGGCTTCACTTTGGTTAACATCTGGTTCACTGATTGTGCCTTTAATGTCAGAAATGTGTTTTCTTAGAAATGGTGAAATGATCTCAGGGCTGAACTTGTTGTGTACAAACTGTGTTGACTCTGATTTTCACTTTAATAAAGTTTTCTTGGAGCAGCATCTAGTAGCTGCTGATGGCTGCAGAGCTTCTCATTTATTTCAATAAAGGTTTGAAGACAAAAACTCAACAAATAGTCTTGATTTATTCTGTTGCTCAAGTACATTTCTTTTCCTGCTGAGTTTGATCCTCACAAAGGCTAAATCAAAAGATAAGTCAGGCAGGAAGGAAGTGAAGCCTTGAAGGTTTATTATTATTATCTGAAAAATACAGATATATATAATAGGATTTAGTTTTTTCTCTCAATATTATTTTAATTATTTTATGAAATGAAGTTGTGTCAACAAACATAGTTCATGCAACATACTCCGGTACAGTAGGTGGCGTATGCACCTTTAAAAGTCATGGCTGCAATCTGCCATAAAAGAACACCAGTGTGTGCTCTACAGGTGGAAGCGGGAGAAATGCCATCGAACATCCGACGTAAACAATTGCTTGTAAATTATTGGGTAAATCTAAAAGGGCATGGAGATAGTCATCCAACTAAAATAATATTACAAGATAATTGGGAAAGGGAGAGAGCACAAAAGTTCAGTTTTGGGTGGGTAGAGCTGAGGCGGCTAGAGAATTTGGAGTGTATGAAAAGGAATTCTGCCCAACTATAATATGGCCTGATACACCGGTATGGAAGCTAGAAACCATGGAAGTTGATTTTAAATTACTTCGAGTTAAAACAGTAAGTAATAGTACAGATCTGGTAGCGGAATTTTATAGACATATAGATTTTAAATATAAAGAGTATATTCAGATTTATACAGACGGATCTGCAGTTTACATTTTCAACCAAAGAGGTGAGATAAGCAGACGAACCACAAATGATCTGAGTGTGTATGCAGTTGAATTATATGCTATTAAGATGGCGCTAGAATGGATTGAGGAAAACAAAATCAAAAAAGCTTTAATTGGAAGTGATTCAGTGTCAGCTTTATACAGTTTCATGACTGGTATATCTAATAGTCATCAGGATTTACTGTATTCAATATTGATAATATACACAAGAATAAGGGAAAAATGCTATGAGATTCAATTGACTTGGATTCCTGCTCATATTGGCATTGTGGGTAATGAGAGAGTGGACAAGTTAGCCAAACAAGCTGTTAAAAAAGAGAGTATTGAAGAAATATTAAGTTGTCAAAGTCTGAAGGAAAGAGTATAATATGGAAAGAAGCATTAGAGAATGTCAACATCAGTGGGATATGGAAACTAAAGGGAGACATTTATATGCTATACAAAGTAAAGTTGGGGCGGTGAAGAATAGGGGAGGGAATAGAAAAGAAGAAATAGTTATGACCAGATTAAGGATAGGTCACAGTAATTTGAATAGCACATTACACATTATAGGGAAGCACCCAACTGGTTTTTGTGGTTGTGGTCAGGTTGCAGAAACTATAGAGCATGTGTTTTTGAGTTGCAGACAATATGAAGAACAGAGGAAAAATATGATGGAAGAGTTAGGAATAGTTGGAACAATAGGGACAGGAATGAAGGAAATACTGGAAAATGGGGAGAATGAACAAAGCAGAGGAAATATTTTCTTATTTTTATCAAGAATAGGTATGATGAGAAGAATATGATGTAACTGGACATGACAGGAAATATAGCCGGAAGATGGCGGTAGTGCAACGATAATGGATGCAAGCTGCCGATAAACTCTAAAGAAGAAGAAGAAGAAGAAGAAGAAGATGCCATAAAAGAAGAAGAAAAACACACTCCCAAAGGTGGAGGACAGAGGGGAACTCCCTCCCTCTCTGAGGCAAGGCGTCATAACACTTATTCCAAAACCTCACAAAGACTCTCTATTAATTGAAAACTGGCGACCCATTACATTGCTAAATAATGACTATAAGATTCTAGCATCTATCTTTGCAAAACGTCTCAAATCTAAATTACACACTTTAATTGATGAATGCCAGTCTGGTTTCATGAAAGACCGTCACATAGCCAATAACATTCGCTTAGTTCTGGATCTGATGGAATACAAAGACTTTCTAGATGATGAACACCTTATCCTATTCTTAGACTTTCAAAAAGCTTTTGACACGGTAAGCCACAAATTTATTAATGACACTTTTTTTTTATTTTGATCAGAATTTTATTAATGCTGTGAAAACTCATGGGAGGAAACAGTTGTGTTAAATTGGCAAATGGAACCTCACCTAGATTTTACATAAAGAAAGGGATCCGCCAAGGCTGCCCCACATCGCCTCTTTTATTTTTGATTGTAGCCCAAATCCTTTGTGTCCTAATTCACTAGAGTCCAATCAAAGGAATTACATTAAACGAAAGAGAAATAAAAATATCACAGCTGGCTGACGACACAACCCTGTTTCTAAAAAATGAATCCCAAATAGGAATTGCACTAAAGGTTGTGAATAAATTCTCTGAAAGCTCAGGATTGAATCTAAATCTATCAAAATGTGAGCTGTTCTCTCTTAAAAATAAGCACTCGGGTCAAATTTGTGGGATAAATATAAAGAATTTAGTAACCTATCTTGGAGTAAAAATCAGTCATAATCATAAGTTAATGACAGAGAGTAATCTGTCTTCACTGTACGACTCTATTACAGTTTTTCTCAAATGCTAAAACACAAAAGCCAATCCTCTAAACCAAATGACCAGTTGTCTAAACACATTTACTAAATCTAGCCATCATTTTCCAATATCATAAACACATTTCACATGAAGACACAATTCACAAAACACAATCCTCCGTTCACATAAATCTTAACACATTTTTCCTTGCTAAAACACAAGTTGCAAAAGAACTCTGCTCATATTCTCAAATGAAAGCTCATGTGATGCAAAATGCTTGCCACAGTCAGCAATATTTGAACAAAATGAACACACCTGGCGTCATTCATTACACACAACGACTCAAAATTGAAAACACCTGTTGCTAATGCTGTGACCACATGTATAAAAGCAAGTTCAGAGTGCACAGTTTGCTGAAGATTCCAAACAAACACAATGGATGAAGGCAGAGTCAGGGGAAGAGGTAATCGAGTCAGAGGAGGGAGAGGAGCAGGCCAGGGAGGAAGAGGAGGAGGCCAACGAGGAAGAGGAGCAGGCCAAGGAAGAAGAGGAGGAGGCCAACAAGGGAGAGGAGAAGGTCCAGGAGGGAGAGCAAGACAACCTCGCACCATCATTACGGACGAGATGCGAACAACAGTCATTGACCATGTCATTGTCCATGGCATGACAATGGCTGAAGCAGGACTAAGAGTCCGTCCAAACCTGAGTAGGTTCACCGTGGCCACCATTATCAGGGCATTCAGACAACACAACAGGTATTGTACTCTATTGCTTTCTTTGTCACAATTTTACAAGCCTGTGAAAGTAGTCTATTAGTTTCAAATCAGTTGTTACTGTATTGTAAAACATGTCAATTGACAACACGTTTCTTTCTTTAGAGTTGAAAGAATGCCACATAGAGGTGGGAGGGTTGCCATATTTACAGCGGCACAAGAAACCCTCATTGTGGATATGGTTCGTGAGAACAACCTCATCAGACTCCGGGAGATCAGAGACAAAGTCATTGCCGATAATGTGAACATTGAGGGCATTGATGATGTCAGCTTGGCCACAATAGACCGAGTTCTCCGGCGCCAAAAGATGCGGATGAAACAAGTCTATAGGGTTCCCTTTGAGCGAAACTCTGCACGACACAAAGACCTACGTTACGAGTATGTGCAAGTAAGTATACAACCATGTTCACAGTACAGTTAGTGAACATACTGTGTTGCTCAGTGGCCTACATTACTTCTGGACAATACTATGCTACCTGATTGACTGTTGTTCTGAACACCTGTGCATTTTCACAGAGGATATTACAGTTGGACGCGATGGCCAGACCTCATGAGTACCTCTTCCTGGATGAGGCTGGCTTCAACCTGCAGAAACGAAGGCAAGAGGCCGTAACATCATTGGCCAAAGAGCCATCACTGAGGTTCCTGGCCAACGGGGGGGGTAATATTACTCTTGGGTCATGGGTTTGGAGGGGCTTGTCCACCAGCAGCAAGATATCCTCCTGGACCGCAAACAACACCATCCTGGGCCCGAACATCCCATTTATGTGATCATTTGGGACAATGTACGCTTCCACAGAACAAACCAAATCAGAGAGTGGTTCACCACCAACAGTAACCACTTTTTAAACGTCTGTCTGCCACCCTACTCCCCTTTCCTGAACCCTATAGAGGAGTTCTTCTCATCGTGGAGATGGAAGGTTTATGACAGACAACCATACACTAGAGAGAACCTCCTAAGGGCAATGGAGCTGGCGTGTGTTGACATCCCAGTGGAGAACTTCCAAGGATGGATCCGCCATTCCAGGGCGTTTTTCCCGCGGTGCCTGGCAAGAGACAATATAGCCTGCGATGTGGATGAGGTGATGTGGCCCGATGCAGCTCAGCGACATGATGCCGCACAGTGATTGTGGTGTAAATAAAAAAAAAAAAAACTTCACACCCTGATCATGTTTTCAAGAGTACGGTTGTGTGCAATAGATTCTGTTTTTGCATTGAGTTGTGTTACAGTAGTATACAGAATTTACTATAGATTTATACTCTTCATATGAAACTCACAAATCTAAATGCCCAATCCTCTGCAGAGATCTAAGATCCATTATTGTAAAGTTTCTAAAAATATGCATTGGCAGTTATGAAACAAAGAACCTTCTCACAAATTGAGCATTGTGTTTTCAATTGTTCTGCTGTAGTGTGTAATGATGTGTATAGTGTTTACATTTTTGAAAGCTTCGAGCTGCTCTTTTGGTGTGAAAGTTTGAGTTTTGAAGGGAGAAGGTGTGGTTGTGTTTATGTAGCTTTAGAAAAGGGTGTTGTGTTTAGACATTGGAGAACATGGACGAAATGTGTTTTAGCTTTTGAGAAACTGTAATAAAAAGTTTGATTCTTGGCTTACAAGAGATATATCTACATATGGCAGGGTTCTTCTTTCTAAAGCAGGTCTCTCACGAGCAGCATATTTATTTACATCTATAGAAATAACTAAATTACAATGTGCCAATCAAGACAAACTATTATATAATTTTATATGGAGGACGAAGCCCCATAAAATCAGGAAAAACATCTTGACCAATAAAATTGAGGAAGGGGGTTTATCGGTAATTGACTTCTCGCTTTTCAATGAAATATTAAAAATTAACTGGTTTAAAAGATTTTTGAAAAATCCAAACAGTTTGTGGAACATTGTTCCAAACTTTATTTTTGAAAAACTTGGTACAATCACATTCTTGCTTCAGTGCCCATAATCCATCAACAGACTGCCAGTCAAACTGTCAAACTTCCATAAACAGGATCTAACTTGGTCACTTTTATACAAACACAATTTCTCCCCTCACAAATGTTTTATCTGGAACAACAGGAACATCATACATAGAAACAAGACTCTCTTTATACAAAACTGGTTTAAACATGACATTGTACTGGTAGCCCAACTGTTAAATAACTCAAATCAAATTTTAACATATGAAGACTTTACTCATAAATTTAACTTCCATCCTCCAACAAAAGAATTTGACGTTGTAACCAGAGCTATTCCCAATGGGATCATAACCTTACTTAGAGGTGAGAAAGATCTGGATCAAATGAATGTATTTTTGTCCAGCAGTGTTTCAATAAATGGTCTATCTTTTCTAGACAAAAAAGTCAACAACAAAGTAATTAAGAACCTTTTATGTGCAAAATCTATCCCTGCATGCAGGCACAAATGGACCCCCCAGTATGAAAATATTAATTGGAATAGAGCATGGAGTAACCCACAAAAATTTTTAATAACAAACAAAGTTAAAGAAATATCATTTAAAATTCTTCACCATTGTTACCCCTGTAACGAGATTATCTCGAAATTTATCCCTACTGTAGACGAAAAATGCTCCTTCTGCTCTCTGGAAACAGAAACGTTGGACCATTTATTCTATAGCTGTTCATACAGCTCTTCTCTGTGGAATGATATACAAGGCTTCATTAATGGACACTTTGGCTCAAATGTAAAAATATCCAATTCTGACATTTTATTTTATTTCTCTGATTCAAACTCCTCTGTACAATACATAGTCAATCTATTAATCTTGCTTGGAAAATTCTTTATTCATAAATCAAAATTTATGAAAATCAAACCTCTTTTCAATGTTTTTAAATTTGACTTAAAAAATTATATAGTCTGTATTTCTGGACTGAAGAGTAAATCAGCATCAAAATGTTTACAACATTTATCTAATATAACTTTATAATTAATTTAACTGATATTTATTGTTTGACACTCTGGCTGTATACTTTATTTTTGTTTTATAATTTATTTATTTATTTATATATTTATTTATTTTATATTTATTATTTATTTATTAATTTATTTATTTTTCACTGTCTCTGTTTTTTCTTCCTTATAAAAACGTGAACTGTAACTATATAATTCTTGTAATAAATAAAAAAAAAAAAAGAAAAAACTATTTAGCTGCAGTCGCTGTCAATTGCCGTCACTCAATTGGAGGAATCCAGCACCGGCCGCTCCAATCATCGAGCCCAGCCAGTGTTACATTCAGCCTCCTGGCTTCTGGTTTCTGCCACGCTGCTGTCATGATAACCTAACGTTACACCGCGTGTCATCTAATGATTGGCTGTTTCATATTTTCTGTTTATTTAACGGCCACATATGAGCGAGAAAACAGCTGAATCTAACATTAAAGACAATCTGTGACTGTACAGTCTGTGAGTCCTTTCAGGCGTTCACTGACGCAGAAATTCATTTTATTATCATACTGCATTACACAATATTGAAATTACATTTAAACATTTAAAGTTTTAAGTAAAGTAGCCTAATTGATGTCTGTTATTGTTATTATCACAACACATCAGTGACGTGGAAATTTGATTCATTTTAAGATTAGATTTGCTACTATTGTCATTATTCTAATGTGCTTCATCAGGATGATTGAATAAAATATAGATTTACTGATAAGACATGTTTTTGATATTTATTTTGGATAAATTTGTATGTTAATCGAGTAATAGGCAACTTTTCTTTCTTTAGAATAAACAAATTTAGTCGTTAGATTAATCGACTAATCGAAAAAATAATCGTTAGATTAATCGACTTGAAAAATAATCGATATGTACAGCCCTAGTTAAGTGTGAGCAGTCCAAAAACACAAAGCATGAAAGTCCAAAGTCCACAGGGGCACGAGAAACACCACAGGAAAATCCACAGCAACATCCAAGGCAACATCAAAATACATCCGCAATGAACTGGCACCGAGTGAAAGACAGACAACCACTTAAATACTCAGGTGAGTGAGAAACTAATTACACAGAGGTGAAACCACTAAGACCATAAAGGACAGGCAGGAGGTAAAACAAGACAAGAGACACTAGGGCAAACTAACTACAAACTAAAACAGGAAGTAAAGCTAACTGAAACACACAAGGAACTATGTCACAAAATGAAACATAACACAGACATCAAAAGTACTAACTAACAAAAACCTACAGAACATACAGATGGTAGAACAGGACTAGAAACACTGATGACCTCATAACAAGTAAACCTGACTAAAAAAACACAGAAACAACTACAAAACACACCCAACCAACCCAAAAACGTGACAGCTAGATGCAGTCTTTACGGGTGGTTGGAACGGACCAGCCAGCTATGGCTTCAGCCTTAGTGTCTACAGGACGGACTTGACCCTGCACCACTTGTCGGCCGAGGTAAGTAACTGTGGCCTTGCCAAAATCACACTTTGCTAAATTTAGTGTTTTGCTTGGGCCAAACGATCAAAAACCTGCTCCAGTACTCTCATGTGCTCATCCCGTGTTGCTGCATGGATGATCATATCATCCAAATACGCATTACAGTTGTGCAACCCCGATAACACAGTGTCTACTAACCTCTGGAAGGTAGCCAGCGCATTGCACAGTCCGAAGGCCATTACAGTGTACTGGAGGAAGTGATCTGGTGTGACAAATGCAGCTATTTTAGAGACACGGCCCATTAAAGGTACCTGCCAGTATCCCTTCAACAGATCTACCTTGCTTACAAACTTGGCTGCTCCCAAGTTATCCACACAATCCTCCATTCTAGGCAAAAGGTAGGAATCTCGAACAGTACCTTGCGAAAATCAGATATGAACCTAGGGGAACCATCAGATTTAGCCACCAGCAGGCACGAGGAGCTCCAGGGGCTGGCGCTAACTTTAGCTAATCCATTCTGCAGGAGGTGGTCTGCCTCCTTTTTCATCATTTCACCCTTCGTCTGATTAATCAGCTTAATGGGCCGAGTCTCTTTCACCTCCATGTGGGAGGGACATCGCTAAAAAGACAGGTATACTGACTTACCAGACTCACCACATCCTGCTGCTGCTCAGCAGTCAGGTGTTGTAACTGAGATGGCAGACCTGCTAATGCCTCAGATTTGGGGAGCCAAGCACCCTGGTATGCGCGTCTTTAAATCATCAGATGTGTCCGCTGACTCTGACCTCTCATCCCACTGTTTTTCAGATTCTACAAAGTATTTCCTGAGCATCGACTTTAAGGTCTGGTGCCAGCGTTACAATGCGCCCTGTGACTCTGGGTGATACGTGGAAGAGATGGCATGGTGAAACTGGTTTCCACTTTTAGTGCGGGGTAAGGGACCAACACAATCAATGAGCACTCGCTCAAATGGCTCTCCTATCACAGGAATAGGGTGCAATAGTGCAGGAGGAACAGTTTGGTTAGGCTTCCCTACAACCTGGAAAACATGACAACACCTACAATGTTTAGCAACCTCCGATTTTAGCCCTGGCCAAAAGAAATGTCTGAGGATGGCCTGATATGTTTTTGTCACCCCTAAATGTCCCGCCCACCGTCTATCGTGGGCTACCGACAACACCTGCCGTCGGTAGCCAGAGAGTACCACTAACTAATAAACAGCATCACAATCCGAATCATCAGCTATTAATGACCATTTTCGCATTAAAATATCCCCTCTAAGGATGTATGCTACTTTTGTACCACTTGCTGAGTTGTCACTCACCACCATGGAGAAGCACTTGTTCAATGTTGGGTCTGCTTTTTGCATCACGCTCAGACCATCTCGACTGACTAGAAGTGCCACCACACAGACTGTCGGTATATCCTGCTCAGCCAGGAGCGTTCCCTCTGCAGCCGCATCCTGAGCAGGAATAACTGTGCACTCCGCCTCAGTCTCCAACCCTGGTGAATCTGAAAAGGCTGACATAAGTAAGCTGTCAGATAACGAAAATTCATCGCCCTCTCTTCGGTTTTCACGTGCACCCGCACGAGTAAGGGCACAAGAGGGAAATATGTTCGAGGATGTGTGTTCTGTAGAGTGTGTCTCATCCCACTAGGGTTGATCTAACACCTCCAGGGCTGGAGTTACTTTACCTCCCGCTATATCATTCCCCATCAGGAGCACAATACCTGTAATCGGCAACTCTAAGCAAACTGCAACTGGGAAAAATCCAGTGACTAACTTAGATTGAATGTGAACGTGATGTACTGGCCGTGGAATGTAACCCATTTCAATACCTCGTAAAACAGAACAGTAGCCACGTGAGAACTGTTCAGAAAAGGGCAGTGCTGACCTGAGGATTACTGACTGTGAACATGCGGTGTCTCTCAGAACTCGTATGGCACATTTATCAGCTGATGCACCCGTCAAAGACACATGGGCATCAAAAACAAATGGCTTGAAACAAACGTCAACAACTTCCTGTTCAGGCTGCTCAGTGTCTAAACCTGACTCTGCTCTAATCAACCCCTTTAGGTTTAGAAGAGCGTGGAATTTGCTCTTTACGTTTAAGTACAAGACAATTAGCAATTACATGGCCGCGTTCCTTTCTCCCTGGCGAACTCAACATAAGTCTGAGATGAAGTTTTACGATAGTTTCTAAACTTCTGTCTGTATGCCTCAGGCACTAGTTCGTAACCACGCAGAATCTTTTACAGAATCATAATTCAAACTATATTCTAAAGAGAGTGCAGCGATAGCATCCTGTGCTTACCCATACATTTTGCACTGAAGCAGGACTGACCAGACTTCAGGCGGCCACTGTAATGCAGCAGCAATACGTTCGAACACACTGAAATACGAATTAACTTCACTTTCACGGAACAACAGTACCAAGGACACATGCTTACTAATATCAAATGCTACTTTTACTGAACTGGTAGAAGTGGTGGAAGAGGAAGTCATACCTGAGTCATCGTGAGCGCTCCGCCCCCGTCCCATTTCGGGAACCTCGATTTCAAGTTTCCGCAGCCTCACTGCCTTGTCAGCCTCATTTTCCAGCTTCCTCCCCTCCAGCTGAAGCTGGAATTGAGATTGCCTCTCACGCTCTTTTTCCTGAGCATCCAGCTGAAGACAAGCGAGACGGACTTTTAGTAGTGCCTCCTCTCTGGAGCCAGTACTAATTGACGGGGATGGATCGTACCTGGGCAGAGTGAATGGCGTCTTTCCCTGTGCACCTGCCTTGCCATCCACCCCGGAGACCGTTGGCGTCTCAACCTGTACACCTTCACTCGGGACTAGACGACTACTGAAACACACGCAGTCCATAATGTGAAAATCTGTTCTTCTGTAATAAAATACTGATTGATAGCTCGGTGTGTTATCAGTGACAGTGTTTGCTTTCTGACTGAGAGTTGTTGTGTTTGGTCCAACAACTTTATTTTGAGACATGTATGAAGTGTGTTGGAGGTGAGATTAACTGTTTCAAGATCCATTTTCCTTTTACTGCTTCAGTTTATCAAACAAACAAAGAAACCTTTGTCATTTGTTTGTTATTAAATGCAGTGGTGAACATTAAATAAGTACATTTGCCTAAGAACTGTCCTTAATACATATTTGTAGTTGTACAAATATGTTGAGTTGAGTTTTTTCTCCTTCTACTCCATCTCAGAGGGAGATATTTTTACTTCACTACATTTATCTGACAGCTTCAGTTACTTTACAAAGTCAGATTGTTGCACACGAAGAGTTTATAAAATATGATGTTTAGTTATAAATTAAACTCCAGCAGTTTATACAAGTACATGTTATGAGTTGTAGTTTCTTCCTTGTGAGTTTGAGTTTTTGCCATTTGTTTCGTATGTCTATTTGCCTGTTTCTCTCGTTCCTTGTCCTTAGTTTATGTCTCGTCTTTTCTCTTGGCTCTTGGTCCTGTGTTTCAGTTCTTTGTCTTTGTTCCCAGTCCTGTGCCTCGGTTATGTTTTAGTATTTCCTCCTTGTTCCTCGTCTGCATTATTTTAGTTTAGTCTGCTCTGTATTCTGTGTCTTAGCTCCTTGTTCTGTGTCTCGGTTTATGTCTTAGTGTTTTGGGTTCTGTCCTGTGTCCAGTATCAGTTATATAGTCTGTTGTGTTTTGGGGTTCACTCCTTGTCCGTCTCTGTCTTGTCTGTCGTCTAGTGTTCAGTAACCCTTGTCATGTCTGTTACCCCAGTGATCCCTCTGCATGTCTGTCTCTGTTTTCCCTGCTCTCTCTCCCTGCCTGTGTCTCGTTAGCCTCATGTCTTTCACCTGTGTTGCTCCCGCCCTGCTCGTTACTCCCTGTGTATATATACCTGGTGTTTCTGTCTTGTCGTTGTCAGATCATTGTATGATGTTTCCCAGTGTTGCTGTGTGTTGTCTGGTTGCCAGCCTTCCTCGTTGTGTCTCCCTGCTTGTTTTGGTTTTCTGTTTGAACTATCCTTGTTTTGGACTCTGTATCAGCCACTCAATCAGTAAGTGTGCTCGCCTTCTCTTTGTTCTTATAAATCACCTCGGTTCACTGCACCTCCTCTGCCTTGCGTCCTGCATCTGGGTCCTCCAACCTGCTCCACTCAGCCACCCATCGTAACAGTACAGCTGAAATAACTTGTTGAATGACATTGAATAGAGGTGTTAAAGCAATGGATATCATGAGAAAAATAATGTGTTTTTGAACATTAAAGCATGTGTGGTGTCTGAACAATAATGCTGCGCTGATGTGTTGAGTCAAATGCACATATATTATACACCACACAAACTTTTCTAGTAGAAACTCAAAATAAAGTATGAACCTGAAAATAGCTTAATATGGGACCTCTAAGTTTGACTACTTTCCCCTAGAGGCTGTGATGTGAATTACACATCACAAGAGCAAACTTTTGTTGCTCAGGTAGGCTGACACAAATGCTCTTAACAGTATCACAAATCCTGTCCTCACAGAAGCAAACACAGCAGCTAAACTACAGCCGGACCCTGACCTCTGACCTCTCAGCAGTTTTCAGTCCCAGCAGTAGATATTGTACTTGTATCACAGAAGCAGTATTTCTAGTAGTAGCACTATTAGAAGTGACAATAATTACAAACTTTGTGTGTTTAACAGCTTTTAAAACAAAGTTAAAAGTTGTTACAGGTGCAAATGAGTAAAAAGGCCTTTAAAGAAAAATGTTGGAAGCCAGAGTCTGTTTGAAGAAGAGCTTTAATAGCAGACACCATCTGTGGCAGCCTGAGGTTCTGGAGCTTCTGGTCCCCCTTTGTTAGGAACCAGGACTGAGGAACAGAGTGAAGGGCCCCGCCCGGGGATCTCAGGCTGCATTCTGCCTCATTACAAACCAACGCGTCCAAAATATGGCAGTGTACCAACTGATCCACACTGCTGCTTCATGACGTCTTGTCACGCCCCCCCTGCTGCGACCTAACCCTGACTTGTGGAAGACTGCCTTGTGTTTGTTTGTGTTTTTCCCTGGGTGTGGCTGCGGTTTTTGGTTTCTGGCCCTTTTCCCCTTTCTCTCTCACCTGCAGGTTGCCGGGAGGCGTGTCAGCTGCGAGGAGCTGATTACACACCTGCACATGATTTGCACTCCCTCGGGTTCCTGCCCTACTTAAGCAGCGGCCTGACGTCCTGTCCTCGCCGGATTGTTAAGTCGTCTCTGTACGTCTTGGCTACCAGCTCGTTTGGTTAGGAACCATACCTGTACTCTGTTTGTTAAGCTGACAACTAACCTGTTTTTCCTGTGCTCAGGATCTCTACCGGACCCGTCCATGACCAACTCACCTTCCCCGCGTCCTGGATCTCACTCTCCCGCCTGTTACCTGTTTGCCTCTCTGCCTGGACCCCATCAGCTTCCTTCGCCTGCCTGCTCTGCCTGCCCCGATCCCCGCAGCCACCGCCAGCTCCTTGACTCAATAAATCTCTGAGAACCAGCTCTTGTCTCCAGTCTATTCCTGGGTCTTATCTGAAGCGTGACACGTCTTTTAGTGCTGAGTTGGGCCCGTATCTGGACGTATTTATCAAGCTTCTCAGAATTACTCATAAGATCACTGCTAAGAACTGACTTAAGACTAAAAAAAATCTTAGCTTGAAGCTGATTAAAAGTTAGTTATCAAGCATCATGTCCTACTTTGAGTGAAGTGCAGGAGTAAATCTTAAGTGTCAGTCTGAGTGATTTACGACACTTTGCTGTGCTGCAAACAGGATTTTGGATGACGATGTAGCCAAGGACCAATCACTGAATAATTTCCTTATTTAAGAATCTTCTCAGATAAATTCACATTGAATGGTGAAATTCTAAAGAGGAGTTTATATTCAACACACTTAACAATAAAGAATTTTTAAGAGAATACATTATGATATAGGCCACACATTAATAAATGAAAGATAAAAAAGTTTATCTTTCTACTGCTCCTGTGAGGCTGGCTATTTGCATGAACTGTTTGCTTCTGTCGGATTACGGGGGTGTTGTTGGGAAGTCGATGAAACGCGTGACAATGATTGCCAGAATTGTTTCCCTGACTATTCGGCTTATTGATGGTTGTGACGGGCCAAAATCATCAGCATTGCTGCGCATGTCCTGTGGCAAAGAAACAAAGCGTCATCACCACCTTCAATTTAACTGAAAATGCATTACTGCGTAAAGTCTGTGGTAAGGTGACGTCCCTCACCAACTCGCTGACAAAGTTTATGCCTGCGCTGTCCGACCGCATCTTATTAACTGCATGTCGTCAAATAATCCAGAAATTCTTTCTCTCCTGAAATATTCATGCATGTCTCTGTCTCCACAGCGCCATCTCAAGCCCTACTGGCAGCTCCTAACCACTTGAGAGACCTCTGGAGCTTCTTAAATAACTGGGGAGTCAGTGATTCTTAGCTTTAAGAAATTTGATAACTGGCTTTTATTAAGTTTAAAAGTAGGAGTAAATTTCATGAATTCTCAGCATTTAAGACTAAAATGGCACTTTGAGAAGCTTGATGAATACCGGCCCTGATCTGATTTAGTTCATCAGATGGTTAGTTAGCAGCATCTAGTGGACAGGTAGCAGAACTACATCATTAGTGTGATTCCTCCAACATTCACTGGGTTTCTGCCACAGGTTAGACCGGTTTTGACGTCCCTCTGATGTTTTTTAGACTCTGAAGTTATGAGGCTGTGACGGCGTCCTCAGATCAGATGCACACAGACACCAGGACTGACGAGGAAGAAATGAGCAGCTTCTTCTCTCCCAGTGTTTCCTCCACACATGAAGGTGCAAAGTGTCTGTAAGTCGACCTGAAGTGAGTTCAGCAGGTGAGAATCCGACCAGAGGAATCTGTAAATGTCTGATAATCAGGATCACTTTGATCACATTGTGCTGGATCACTGTTTAACTGGACAGTAGAAATGCTTCTTGATGCTGATTGGCTGTTTCTAAATATCTCTTTGAAATCTGCTGTAGAATTTCTCTCCGAGTTAAAGAACAATGATTTCAGAAAGATTTCCCTGTAATATTGTTCATGTTTCTCAAGTAGAATCAGCAGCAGTCTGATTGTAGTCTGAGCTCACATCATCAGTGAAACATGCAGGGTGTGTCTGAACTGGTCTGACAGCTTGGATCCACTTGGCTCAGGTTTCTGGTTTAACTGTTAATACTCTGAAGTTAAGTGCATGGATGAAGAGTTCAGGGCTCAAATACAGACATCTTCCAACACTGAGACGGACTTGGTTTCACTGAAGACCCTGGAACAGTCCAGGTCTCAGCTGTCTCTGAGGCTCCAGGATCCTTTCTAGATGGACCAGAGCCAGCAGGGTGGAAGGGAACTTAAGATGTTACTTAAGTTGGCCCCTCAGTAGTCAGGGGCTCCACGGGAATAGAAACTGTGAACTATCCTGGTTCTCTCATTTTAACTGTCATAATTAAAATAATTAAATATAAAAAATAAAGGTTTAAAGAGAGCCTTTGATTTGCTATAGATCACAGGGATTATGATTTTGAGCCTTAACCACTTAATCCCCTGCATTCTGGAGCAGCCTGTTACCTTTATGGACAATTCAAACATAAATGGCTTTGCATGTTTCTTATTGTGCAAATAAAACTTTCTCAAAGTATTTTAATCTATGTCTTGGTGCAAGCTATTTTTCAATACATTTTCAAAATGTGGCGGGGACATGTCCCCAGCATCCCCAGTGTAAATGACACCTATGGCTACTAAAGCCCCTTTTGTACTGCACAGTACCAGCTCGACTTGTCTCGACTGTACTCGCCTTTTTTTGGGTTTCCATTGTGGAAAAGTTGTACCTGCTTCCAGGTACTTTTTTGTATCACCTCTGCCGAGATTCCAAGCAAGCTGAGGCGATACTACAATGTGACGTGAAAACACGGGAGACTACTGATTGGTCAGAGAGAATCTGGTGCGGCCGGCCAGCCGCCCGCTCACAGAGCCCTCTGCTCCCGCCGTCACACAGACCGCTGCAGCAACAACGGCAGAGGAAAACACAGCTGGAAGCTTTTCATACCGCTTATCTGTCTTTACATTCTGAGGAAACGTTTTACCTTAAATCAAGAGACAGCTGTGTGTGTCGCATTGAACATTACGTCATGGCACTTGTGTGAGGCATCGCTATGACCACCAGCTACATTCAGGGGTACAATCTCTGTGTACTATCTGCAATGGAAAATTCATCTGCTCTGTGCAACTTGACGCGGCTTCCGTCAAAAGTAGGCCCAATCCCAATGTCCCCCCTAAACCCTGAACCCTGAACCCTCACAGACGTCAAGTACTGACGTCACTTGGAAAGTGATTGAGTGCAAGAGGCTGCAAGGGCTCAAAACGCTGTAAACAGGAACGGGACAGCTCTTTGCCACTTTATCACGTTAACTTGACTGAAACACATAGCACACTTTTTATTTTATGTTTTTGACTGATTTTTAAGTCCTGCAGGTTCTTGCCCTACAGAATAGAGGGAGGTAAATATCAATCTACATTTGTCCATAAACAATGTCACTATTGTTGGTCCAAACATCATCATTAAGCAAAAACTAAAATAAATAGTTGAATAAACGTGTGTAATAGGGTGATTGCATTCCTCTAACTTCATGTGATCTATGTACCATCTTAAGAAAACTTTCAACAATTTTAACATCAGCGTTGGTGTCGATGCTTGTTTGTTTACCGTTTTCTTCTTCTCTAATAACACGGATTTGACATGATTTTTCTCTCGCTTCCGGGCTACCCCTGGTAACCCCCGTGTTTCATGTCATACCACTATAAACTGTGGGCAGTTCCCTCAGCGAAAGTCTGCAGAAATGCGGACTTACGAAAAGGGTCTAAAAAGGGCTCAAAATGTCCGCGAGAGAGCCCTCACACACTCCGAGGTCGTCTCCTCTCCAAAACAAACGGACCCGGACATTAAAACATTAAAACACAGCCACGTAGCAACGTTAGCATTAGTCCTGTGGTTTGTTTACAGCTAACAGCTGATCCGGTCCTCCAGAGAACACAACTTAACTTTTACTTTTTATTTATCGACAGAGCCCTGCTGTTGTTTCACCGCTCCTCACTGGTGAACAACCTGCAGTTTTGAGATTATTATTAAATTTGTTAAATTTTAATAAGAGTGTGTTTTATTCATCTAGTTTGTCAAGCTTATTACTTCAATATATTCCCTGTAAATCTGATCTTAATATATAGATTTTACTCATGTATAGACGTTAGGCTGCTGTATGAATAAGCACTTTAGAGATATAGTGATATATATACATATATATATGGCTGGTCTGGTTGTATACTCAGGAAAATGGACAGATTTAGCCGGAGTAGTGGCTTAATCGAATATTGACAACATATTTCTGTGGTTTTTACATGGTTTGAATTTGGTTGTGGCCCATGGGGCTTTATAGAACCATGATAGAGAAAGATCAAGAGGTGAATTTGTGCATTATACTTTGTTAATTAGAGCAAGCCAGGCAGCCTTCTGTGTTTGAGAAGTGCGCTGTTTTTTTTTTTCAAATTGCCCACTAGAGGGCTGCAGCGCCGCAATAACCAGGCTCGTTAAAATGAGCGAAATGACACAAAAAAGATTAGTTCATTTTAATGAACGACATTTGGTGACTCGTGTCTTTCAAAAGAGTGACTTTTAACATCACTAGAGGTTTGGTGTCTTTGTTTTGATCACTTCATGTTCTGAACTCTTCACTTTTTTTCAAACTGGTCTCACATTTTGCAGATCTTAGTCCAAATATCAAAACCACGGTTAAAATCCACAAACAGCTGGATGCAGGTTTGAGAATGTGTAAGAACATTGAAACAAAAATAAAATCTGGGAACAAAGTGATAATTTTTATTCCACATTTAAACACGAGTTTCCTCATTTCATCAGAACACACAGGAAGGATTAGCAGCCCAACCTGCATCTTTTATGAGGGCTGTAATTAAGTTTCTTACTGTTTTTATCTCTTCATGCATTGATTATTGCAACAGCCTCTTCACTTGCCTTAATCAAAAAACCCTGAATAGGTTACAGACTGTACAGAACTCAGTGCTCGGCTCTTAACTAGGACAAGAAAATTTGATCATATCACCCCAGTTTTAGCATCGTTGCACTGGCTCCCTGTTTGTTTTACGATTGATTTTAAGATTTTACTCATTACTTTTAAGGCTACTCATGGCCTGGCTCCTGATTATATCTGAGATGTTTTAACGCTAAACAACTAAAGAGTTGACTTGACTCTGGTCTGGCTGTTGCTGACGTATTGGGCTAAGCGTGTCGACTCATTTCCGTTTCCGGTGCTTGTGTGTTGGTACCGTGATGTGCTGCTCTCGCTAAATACCAGTTACATTTGTTAGATTACAGCGGCCAACTGTCCGCTAAACACTTATTCTTACAGTAATTTTGCCAAGCACTCACAGTTCTTTCCATCTTTTAGTGACTGCTGTTCAATCTCATAGTTGTTCTAAAGTTTTGGTAGCTGACGCTACAGTACTTTAGCTTAGCCGTTAGCGACTTTAGCTTAGCAGCTAGCGATGGCTTCTCCTTCTCCCTCTCTCTCTCCTACTTTCTCCTGCTCGGTGTGTCAGATGTTCAGTTACTCCTCTGCCTCCTTTAGCGGTAATGGTACGTGTAATAAGTGTAGTTTATTTATAGACGTTGGAGGCGAGGCTCAGTGATTTAGAAGTCCGGCTCCGCACCTTGGTAGATCAATCTTTAGCTACTGTAGCTAGCCAGTCCCCGGTAGTCGGTGCGGGCCGGTCTGAGTTAGCCTCTGGTAGCCGTCCCCCGGCATCCCCTGTGCAGCCAGGAAAGGGGGGGCTGGGTGACTGTCCGAAGGAGGAATAATTGTAAGCATTCAAAGTCCACGGGGCATCATCAACCTGTTCACGTTTCTAACAGATTTTCCCCACTCAGCGACACACCCGCTGAGAAACCAACTCTGATCATTGGCAGCTCCATTTTGAGAAACGTGAAGTTAGCGAAGCCAGCGGCCATAGTTAAGTGCATCCCTGGGGCCAGAGCGGGCGACATTGAGTCTTATTTGAAACTGCTGGCTAAAGATAAACTTAAATACAGTAAGATTGTTATTCACGTCGGCGGTAATGACTCCCGGTTACGCCAATCGGAGGTCACTAAGATTAATGTTGAGTCAGTGTGTACATATGCAAAAACAATGTCGGACACCGTAGTTTTCTCTGGACCCCTGCCAAATCTGACCAGTGATGACATGTATAGCCGCATGTCGTCATTCCGCCGCTGGTTGTCGAGGTGGTGTCCAGCAAACGATGTGGGCTTTGTTGATCATTGGCAGACTTTCTGGGGAAGACCTGGTCTGATCCGGAGAGACGGCATCCATCCCACTTGGGAAGGAGCAGCTCTCATTTCTAGAAATCTGGCCAAGTTTATTAGTGGACCAAATCCATGACAACCCAGAGTTGAGACCAGGAGGCAGAGTCGCAGTCTAACACACTTCTCTGCTCCTCCATTTCAGGAGTTACTTAGTGAAAATCCTATAGTGACGGTGTCTGCCCCCCACCATCGAAATTATTTAAATCAAAGGTAAACAGAAGAGGAGCTGTGCATAAAAACCTCATAAAAATTAAAACCACAAGAGCAATAGTGCAAACGAATAGGAAAATTAAATGTTGACTCTTAAACATCAGATCTCTCTCCACTAAAGATGTACTAGTAAATGAATTTACTACGATTTATCAGATCGATTTCAGTTTGTACATGTTAACGAGTCCTCCATGCATGCCAAAGTTAGTCATGGAGTTCCTCAAGGATCTGTCCTCGGACCAATCCTCTTCACTTTATATATGCTTCCCTTAGGCAATATTATTAGGAAATATTCCATCAACATTCATTGTTATGCAGATGATACTCAGTTATATCTATCGATCAAGCCAGATGAAACTCATCAGTTAGCTAAACTTCAATTGTACCATCAGGATGTTAAAACCTGGATGACCTGTAATTTTCTAATGTTAAACTCAGATAAAACTGAAGTTATTGTTCTGGGACCTAAGCACCTCCGTGACGCATTATCAAAAGATATAGTTTCCCTTGATGGCATCGCCCTGGCCTCCAGCACCACTGTGACGAATCTTGGAGTTATCTTTGATCAGGACATGTCGTTTAAGTCTCACATTAAGCAAATTTCAAGGACCGCATTTTTTCACCTACGTAATATTTTGCGAAAATCAGGAACATCCTGTCTAAAAATGATCCAGAAAAACTAGTCCAAGCATTTGTTACTTCTAGGCTGGATTACTGCAATTCCTTATTATCAGGCTGCTCGAAAAAGTCCATTAAGACTCTTCAGCTGATCCAGAATGCTGCAGCACGTGTTCTGACAGGAACCAGGAAAAGAGATCATATTTCTCCTGTTTTAGCTTCTCTGCATTGGCTTCCAGTAAAATCCAGAATAGAATTTAAAATCATTCTTCTTACCTACAAAGCTCTTAATGGTCAGGCACCATCTTATCTTAAAGAGCTCATAGTACCTTACTACCCCACCAGAGCACTGCGCTCCCAGAATGCAGGGTTACTTGTGGTTCCTAGAGTCTCCAAAAGTAGACTAGGAGCCAGAGCGTTCAGCTATCAAGCTCCTCTCCTGTGGAACCAGGTTCCAGTTTGGGTTCAGGAGGCAGACACCATCTCCACATTTAAGAGTAGGCTTAAGACTTTCCTCTTTGATAAAGCTTATAGTTAGGGCTGGCTCAGGTAGTCCTGAACCATCCCTTAGTTATGCTGCTATAGGCCTAGACTGCCGGGGGATTTCCCATGATGCACTGAGCTCCTCTCTCCTCTACTTTCTCTCCCTCTGTATGCAACCTTATCCCATTATTGCATGTTACTAACACAACTTCTCCCCTTTCTGGTAGTCTTGTGCTTTCTCGTCCCTCTCCTCTCTCCTCCTATCACTTCCTGCAGGTGTTTCTGGCTCTGGAGCTGTGGAGTCTGGATCTGTGGTTGCGGGTCACCTGCTGCCCCCGTGTTCCTGCTCGACACCCTCTGCTGCAACGACTATTGTTACTAGTCCTATTGTTATTATTGTTATTATAATCATTAACATTACGATTATTATCATTAACACTATTATAAATATCTGTACCATTTTTCATTTAGTCTATAGCAACATCACCTTTACTGTCTGTACCTCTGTGTGGATATTGTGTAGGCTGCCTCCCCTCTCTCTCTCTCTCTCTCTCTCCTTCACCCCAACCGGTCGAGGCAGATGGCCGCCCACCCTGAGCCATGGTTCTGCTCGAGGTTTCTGCCTCTTAAAGGAAGTTTTTCCTTGCCTCTGTCGTCTAGTGCTGCTCTTGGTGGGAACTGTTGGTCGGTCTAGACCTGCTCTCTTATGAAAAGCGCTGTGAGATAACTGTTGTGATTTGGCGCTATATAAATAAAATTGAATTGAATATAATCTGTGGTCATCATCAACATGTAAACCACCTGCGCTTTTTTTGGGACTCAGATCAGCAAAATCTCCTGAGTGTTTAAAGTCACAGCTGTCTTTTTACTACGAGAGTTTTCATCTACACTTGATTTGTGATGCCTTGAACTGTTTTTGTTTTTATTGTGCTGTCTACTGTTGTAATGTTGCTTTTAACTTGATATCCTTCTGTAAATCATGTGGTAACCTAGGTTTTTAAAGGTGCTATATGAATGAAATGTTACTTATTGACTTACTCAGGAAATGTTATTTAATGTTTTACATCCAGCTGCAGAGGTTCCCCTCTGTTTCCCTACAGTTCTTATCTCCAGTCATCTTGAAATTTAGGTTGTAAATCACTGCAGCAGAATGAAATTAATCAATAACAGTTTTTCTAAAATAGTTCATTTATAAATCCCTATAAACCTCATGGTGGGTCTGATCACTGAGACTTGATCCTCCATCACAGATTTATTTACTGAGCTAATCTTTAGCTCATCAGCTGGTTAGTTAGCAGCATCTAGTGGACAGAGAATGAAACTACACATCTGATCAGAGATGTTTCTGACACTGACTGGGTTTAGATGTTCTAAAGGAAAGATGTGACACTATCTCACGACCAAATTTAAAACTTATTTAAGAAATAAAAGCTTTTGTTCTTGTAGCCTTCATCAAATAACAAAAGAAAGGGATCACAAACCAGACCCGTTTTGACGTCACTCTGATGTTTTTTAGACTCTGAAGTTATGAGGCTGTGACGGCGTCCTCAGATCAGATGCACACAGACACCAGGACTGACGAGGAAGAAATGAGCAGCTTCTTCTCTCCCAGTGTTTCCTCCACACATGAAGGTGCAAAGTGTCTGTAAGTCGACCTGAAGTGAGTTCAGCAGGTGAGAATCCGACCAGAGGAATCTGTAAATGTCTGATAATCAGGATCACTTTGATCACATTGTGCTGGATCACTGTTTAACTGGACAGTAGAAATGCTTCTTGATGCTGATTGGCTGTTTCTAAATATCTCTTTGAAATCTGCTGTAGAATTTCTCTCCGAGTTAAAGAACAATGATTTCAGAAAGATTTCCCTGTAATATTGTTCATGTTTCTCAAGTAGAATCAGCAGCAGTCTGATTGTAGTCTGAGCTCACATCATCAGTGAAACATGCAGGGTGTGTCTGAACTGGTCTGACAGCTTGGATCCACTTGGCTCAGGTTTCTGGTTTAACTGTTAATACTCTGAAGTTAAGTGCATGGATGAAGAGTTCAGGGCTCAAATACAGACATCTTCCAACACTGAGACGGACTTGGTTTCACTGAAGACCCTTTAGAACAGTCCAGGGGCCTCATGTATAAAAGCCATCTGTCAGCCATCGGCGATGGCATTGTGATTGTAAAACCCCGTCCCCCCGTCAAAAAAAAATCTAAATTTTTCACATTATACCGCTATGTGAAAGCAGGTTTTAATCACAACGAACTTATTATTAAAGAGGCCTACACCTCAGGTAAACACACCGGCTAATACCGGGGAAAGGCAGCCTGCAGTTGGCACTTGGCTTATTTTATTTCTTTTCCAATTGAAAGGTGCAGTATGGAATAGTTATGGCTGACTAGTGCGAGCACAAATAACACTGCTGGTTTGAATGTTTACATGATAAAGTGGTAACATGTGAAATGAAGTGAAATTAAATATGTGAAAGTCATCATGATCTATTTTTCTCACATTCAATTTTATTTTGATATTAAACCACTACATACATGATCAAACCTTTGTCAAAAGACATAATTAGGATTTTGATAGACTACTCCATTGACATCTGCACAGTAATTGCAGTGGAAACACTATTTTGAAACATTTGGTGAGTTTTGGCACTTTAGCAGTTTACTGACAGCCAGACAAAAGTTTGTGGAGGGACTTCACATTCTCACATCACGTTCATTTTTATACATCCCACGTGTGCGTGAAAACCAGCGTACGTAACCTTTTTATACGTAGGCAGCGTTTATACATGAGGCCCCAGGTCTCAGCTGTACCAGAGGCTCCAGGATCCTTTCTAGATGGACCAGAGCCAGCCCAGGGTGGAGGGGAACTTAGAGGTTGATTAGGGCCCCTCAGCCATCAGGGGCCCTCACAGGAATAGAGAAGGACCAAAGTAAAATCAGCCATCCTGTGTCTCTCTGGTCATGATTTAAACATTAAAGACAGAAATAAAGATTTAAAGACACAGACCTTGAGGAGAACTAAAGTGTCCTGAGATGTAAAGCTTGTTGTAATGAATGAGTGCAGCTCTCTCAGCATGTTGTTGTGTTTGTGTGAAGGTGTGGGCTCTGCTATGAATCAGTGTGAGGACAGAGAGGAGGGAGTCCCTCCCTCTAAAAGCACTCTGTGTGGGGAACATGACAGCCAGACCAAAGCTCAGAGGTGAGATGAGGATCTCTAACTGTCCAGGACTCAAATCACTCCACCATCATTATTCACTCTCAAAGCTCTGTGTGTGTTGTGTTGAAGCCCAGAGCAGCAGCAGGGACCAGACTCTGCTGGACCTGGACCTGGACCTGGACCCAGCTGTGTGTCCATCAAGAGTGACCGGTCTATGGGCAGACTCATTGACTTCAAAGGTGGACACCACTCTGCTGATCAAAGGTCAGCATGTTAAATGTTTGTGTCTCTCCTGAGATGAGGTTTGGTGTCTTTGTTTTGATCACTTCATGTTCTTAACTCTTCACTTTTTTCAAACTGGTCTCACATTTTGCAGATCTTAGTCCAAATATCAAAACCACAGTTAAAATCCACAAACAGCTGGATGCAGGTTTGAGAATGTATAAGAACATTGTCTATGGAGCCTCCTCTTGCTCAATGGAGGTGAATGAAGTTTAGTTTTGAGCTACTAACAGTAAAGATGCAGCTGGACAGATAAACAACAACTGAAAGTCGCTATAAAACTCTGTATCGCTGACAAACTGCAGATTCAGCTGAAAACTCACTACCAGAGACACCAACACATAAATATATCTATTAAATCTGCTTTGAGGACACATCTGATTTGTTATTTCATTGTTCAGGATCCATCGGCAGAGACCAGATTCTCCTGGACCCAGCTGTGTGTCCGTGAACAGCGACCGTCATGTCCCTGTTCACTTCAAAGCTGGACATAATGATGCTGAACAAAAGTAAGAATCTTAAATGTTTGTGTTGTTTTGTTGACTCTCCTAAAAAGAGCTCTCAGGTAGGTCTTGGTTCAGCACTGTTTTTTGTTAATTAAAAATAATAATAGACTCTTTATTTATTCCCAGAGGGAAATTCTCATGTCACATCAGCAGCACAGAAATGAACCAGGTTCAAAGAACAGTGCAAAACAAATGTCAAACACATGAGAAAGTAAAAATATTAAAAGTATGAGCATGCCCTTTTGTCTGCTGCTTACTGTAACTGTAAGTCCAGTTAGAGTCCAGTAGGACCTCAGCAGCCTCCTCGTCCGCTGATGTCCACTGAGACACAGCTGGATGAGTAAAACAGCAGCATTTTCTCCTGTCCAGTCTACCCTGCACCCAGCGGTGTTTCCATGGAAAGTGACCAGATCATACATTTTTATACCAAGATCTGGTATAGGTGTATGAGGATCTGTTTCTACCAGATATAACACAGCACATGTAACACTGTTTGTCATTATATGTTCAAATCATCATATTTCTTCACAGAGTTGATCAGCAGAGCTCAGAGGTTCCCAGTGGTCAGTCTGCCCAGCAGCATCAAACAGACCTGGACTCCATATTTATGGTGTGTAAATGTACAAGCTCAGCTACTACTGCTAATTACAGGAGCCAGCACAAAAATGTCATTGAAATTATTTCTATAAATTATTTTATATTTAATTTCTGGATGATGTTCACAGGCAGCCATAATCCATAAAGCTGCAGTCAGTCCCAGCTGATAACCTATTGTGAGATCAGATATTTTAGAGGAAAACTAGAATATGTTGGAGCTAACAGGAATACGCTCAGTCTGGGTGCTAGTTCTGTTTGTCACAGCAGAACATCACTTAAGACCAAATATGAAATAAAGAGCTGAGAGAGGGTTGATATGCTGTTTATTTCTTCCCTCTGCAGTAACAACATAACAGAATGTATGTTTAGCTGCATCGACACAAAGATACAAAAATACTCTTTTTCATTCACGCACTTGTAATGAAAGTTATTGCACTGCACAACTGTAGTCCATCACTCCACCAGCCCACTGATACGCACCAATTTTAACTGTGTGACGTCAGTTAGGCTACACTACCACCGCAGGGCTCCCACTATAGAATAACCAGCACCATATGGAAACAGTCCTCAATAACACCAACTTGTTCTACAGAACATCTGACTGATACACTCAGTATCAACATTTCTGTGATTTGCTTAATTTGTTCTTTAACAGCATTTACTCATTATGTGGAAATCTCAGCAAGCAATATGTTTCCTTTAAAAATATTATAGGAGACAGGGCAGTCCACAAAGTAAATAGTGAAGCAGCATTCTGATCCAGTCTCCATGCTGCACTCTGCAGACCAGCAGGCTTTCTGTCTGTCACAGATGATCTGATGTTGACTTCTACCAGTTCAACTTTACATTTTCTTCTGTTCCAGCTGCTCCAGGAAAACATTGGCAGGTTTGTGAAGAACGAGGTGAAGAAGTTCCAGAGAGTTCTGAGTCCAGATTACCCAGAATGCTTAGAGAGTCAGAGGGAGGATGAGGAGGTGTTGGACGGTGAGGAGGAGGAGCAGAGATGGAGGAGCAGAGAGGCATTTCTGAAGATCACACTGCACTTCCTGAGGAGAATGAAGCAGGAGGAGCTGGCTGAGCGTCTGCAGAGCAGTAAGAGGATTTGAACAGATTTAACATGATGGAAAGAGGAAATGGAGGCAACATGGGAGAAGTTTCCATTTCAAACTCTGCTGTTAATATGATGCACACATTTGGATCAGATCTATGAATTCTTCTGGGCTGAAACTCAGAAACTGTTCACAGCTGATGAGCTGAAGAGATTTCATGGAGGAGGAAAATAAATACCATCTTGATGTCTTAAAGTTTACATTTATCAGATTTACTGTAGCATCCACTTATTAATCACATTTCTTCTTCATTCAGGAACTGTTGCTGCAGTGTGCCGACGTAAACTCAAGTCTAACCTGAAGAAGAAGTTCCAGTGTGTGTTTGAGGGGATTGCTAAAGCAGGAAACCCAACCCTTCTGAACCAGATCTACACAGAGCTCTACATCACAGAGGGAGGGACTGCAGAGGTCAATGATGAACATGAGGTCAGACAGATTGAAACAGCATCCAGGAAACCAGACAGACCAGAAACAACCATCAGACAAGAAGACATCTTTAAAGCCTCACCTGGAAGAGATGAACCAATCAGAACAGTGATGACAAAGGGAGTGGCTGGCATTGGGAAAACAGTCTTAACACAGAAGTTCACTCTGGACTGGGCTGAAGACAAAGCCAACCAGGACATACAGTTCACATTTCCATTCACTTTCAGAGAGCTGAATGTGCTGAAAGAGAAAAAGTACAGCTTGGTGGAACTTGTTCATCACTTCTTTACTGAAACCAAAGAAGCAGGAATCTGCAGCTTTGAAGAGTTCCAGGTTGTGTTCATCTTTGACGGTCTGGATGAGTGTCGACTTCCTCTGGACTTCCACAACAATGAGGTCCTGACTGATGTTACAGAGTCCACCTCAGTGGATGTGCTGCTGACAAACCTCATCAGGGGGAACCTGCTTCCCTCTGCTCGCCTCTGGATAACCACACGACCTGCAGCAGCCAATCAGATCCCTCCTGAGTGTGTTGACATGGTGACAGAGGTCAGAGGGTTCACTGCCCCACAGAAGGAGGAGTACTTCAGGAAGAGGTTCAGAGATGAGGAGCAGGCCAGCAGAATCATCTCCCACATCAAGACATCACGAAGCCTCCACATCATGTGCCACATCCCAGTCTTCTGCTGGATCACTGCTACAGTTCTGGAGGAGGTGTTGAAGACCAGAGAGGGAGGAGAGCTGCCCAAGACCCTGACTGAGATGTACATCCACTTCCTGGTGGTTCAGTCCAAACTGAAGAACGTCAAGTATGATGGAGGAGCTGAGACAGATCCACACTGGAATAAAAAGAGCAGGAAGATGATTGAGTCTCTGGGAAAACTGGCTTTTAAGCAGCTGCAGAAAGGAAACCTGATCTTCTATGAATCAGACCTGACAGAGTGTGGCATCGATATCAGAGCAGCCTCAGTGTACTCAGGAGTGTTCACACAGATCTTTAAAGAGGAGAGAGGGCTGTACCAGGACAAGGTGTTCTGCTTCGTCCATCTGAGCGTTCAGGAGTTTCTGGCTGCTCTTCATGTCCATCTGACCTTCATCAACTCTGGTGTCAATCTGCTGGCAGAAGAACAAACAACCTCCTTGTGGTCTAAAGTCTTCAGAGACAAACTTAAACTAACACATCTCTACCAGAGTGCTGTGGACAAGGCCTTACAGAGTCCAAATGGACACCTGGACTTGTTCCTCCGCTTCCTCCTGGGTCTCTCACTGCAGACCAATCAGACTCTCCTACGAGGTCTGCTGACACAGACAGGAAGTAGCTCACAGACCAATCTGGAAACAGTTGAGTACATCAAGAAGAAGATCAGTGAGAATCTGTCTCCAGAGAGAAGCATCAATCTGTTCCACTGTCTGAATGAACTGAATGATCGTTCTCTAGTGGAGCAGATCCAACAGTCCCTGAGTTCAGGAAGTCTCTCCACAGATAAACTCTCTCCTGCTCAGTGGTCAGCTCTGGTCTACATCTTACTGTCATCAGAAAAAGATCTGGACGTGTTTGACCTGAAGAAATACTCTGCTTCAGAGGAGGTTCTTCTGAGGCTGCTGCCAGTGGTCAAAGCCTCCAACAAAGCTCTGTAGGTGGATAAATGGATGTGCAATTTCTAAAACTGTATTTTGACAAATAAAACATTCAGTTTGTGTTCATTGCTAATCCTTTTTCAGGTTGAGTGGCTGTAACCTCTCAGAGAGAAGCTGTGAAGCTCTTTCCTCAGTTCTCAGCTCCCAGTCCTCTAGTCTGAGAGAGCTGGACCTGAGTAACAACAACCTGCAGGATTCAGGAGTGAAGCTGCTGTCTGCTGGACTCAAGAGTCCACACTGTACACTGGAAACTCTCAGGTCAGTAATAAGCTGTTTCGTTTAAATCCTCTTCATCTGGTTTTAGGTTCAGTTAGTGGAAATGGTCTGTAGGATTTTCCTGCTGACATGATTTTCTAAAACACAGAGTTTATGATGTTTTCCTGATTCCAGGCTGTCAGGCTGTCTGATCACAGAGGAAGGCTGTGCTTCTCTGGCCTCAGCTCTGAGCTACAACCCCTCCCATCTGAGAGAGCTGGACCTGAGTAACAACAACCTGCAGGATTCAGGAGTGAAGCTGATGTCTGCTGGACTCAAGAGTCCACACTGTACACTGGAAACTCTCAGGTCAGTGATAAGCTGTTTCGTTTAAATCCTCTTCATCTGGTTTTAGGTTCAGTTAGTGGAAATGGTCTGTAGGATTTTCCTGCTGACATGATTTTCTAAAACACAGAGTTTATGATGTTTTCCTGATTCCAGGCTGTCATTCTGTCTGATCACAAAGGAAGGCTGTGCTTCTCTGGCCTCAGCTCTGAGCTCCAACCCCTCCTATCTGAGAGAGCTGGACCTGAGCTACAATCATCCAGGAGAGTCAGGGGTGAAGCTGCTGTCTGCTGGATTGGAGGAGCCACACTGGAGACTGGACACTCTCAGGTTTGGACAGACAGCAAGAGCTCACACACTGCAGGTGTCTCTAATTTCTGTTATTTTATGTCAGTCTGCTGGAGTCCATCATCATGAAGGACTTCTTATTCCTCCTCATTCTGTTCAGAGCAGTGAGTAGGCCTGAGATAGGAAACACACGGCTCTCCAGAAGTCTTATCGATTGGAAACCATTAGAAACATCAGAAACTTGGATGTAAAATCATTCTAATGTGAGACCTGCTTGCAGCATTTCTCTATGGATAGAATCAGGGGTGGACTGGTAATCTGGCATACCAGGTAAATGCCTTGTGGGCCGACGAAACTTTGGGGCCAGTGTAACATAAATTACTTATTTATTCAACTGTTTTAAAAAATGGGCCAACAGTCGGCCCATAAAGCATGTACCGCAGCACATTGGGTAATTTTCTATACTGACACCCCCCTCCTCTGCCTTCTGTTTCTTGAGTTGTGGGCCAAATAAAATTTTAAATTCTGCAGATGGATGCCACCAAATGCGCAAAATAACCGATATGTTAGCAGGAGGAGAGTGGAGGTGAAGCGGTAAGCATGGAGTAGCTCAGCCTGTAGGGAGGGAGCAGGGAGGGAGGGTCATAGTGTCATTTACACTGGGGACGCTGGGGACATGTCCCCACCACTTTTTGAAATGGCAGATGTTGTCCACATCACTTTTTGAAAGCATTTGTTAAAAATGTTAATGTTAAGAAATGTTAATTAACAAATGAAAATGCTTTGAGAAAGGTTTATTTGCACTATTCTGAAAACCAGCAATGCAATAAAAACATAGAAGAAACATCTGCGTTGTCCAAAAAAGTAACTTAAGCTAAAAAAAGAGCTACAGATTACTGCATTATTCTATTACATTTTTATATTCTGAATCATCACTTGCCAACTGAATTTGTGCTTCCCTTTACATAAATAAAGACATTCCACCATAAATTGGTGCAGAAAATATCCCCAGAATGCAGGAAATTAAGTGTTTAATGATCAAAATAGTATTCAAATGTATTCTTGTCTTGTTCTCGTGACCCCAATCTTGTGCAATGTCACATCTCATGGGCAAAGTGTGTCGTCACCCCCCTAATCTGAGCCCTTAAATGTCCCCACCACTGTTCAACACAAAGTGAGGCCCTTGGGTAGGATGTGTGCCATGCTGTAGTGACAGTGATGATGATTACTTCAATTAAGGTTGATGATTATAACATATGAGTACACTGATTCACTTGCACTGGTGCACTTATCCATGGCACATACCACTCTGCTTGTTTGTCTACAGTAGGTACACATGTTATATATGGAAGGATGGTGTATCGGTGAGAAGTGTCTCACCAATTTAGGTGAGCCGCCTGAGCCAACAATGCCGGGGCCAATTTTTTAGTCCCAGTCCAGCTCTGGATAGAAGTGTTTGATGGTTCATCTCAACAACTACTAAATTTGTTGAGATTAATGTAGCTGCAGTGTTACAAGTCTAACTACATTTCTCAGTAGTGTGGTGGTAGCTTCGCTTTTTTCTGATCAAATGGCTTTTCAACCTCGAAGCTCCTTTATTGATCAAGTACCGTGGTAGCATCCACACACTGGGGTTGGGCCGATAGACGATGCCGTCGGTGATGGCTGATGGCTGGTGAAAGCAGGATTTAATCCCCAAAAACATTATCATTATCATTTTAAAAATACCTGGTTTGCACCTGTCTCTGAATTCTCTTCTCCCCACACTCACACACACCTAACGTTACATCTCTGTCTCTCTCCGCCTGTCTGCTCCACTTTCTCCATCAGCAGTGTGTTTTATAAAGTCGCCTAAAACACACAGAACTCGTCTTTTTTCATATTGTTCCACCCGTGATCTGTTATCACGGCAGCAGGTGAGCCGCATGCCGGCTTGTTAATGACGTAGCCTATGAAACAACCGAAACCATCTGCACTCTAGTGCCTGCTGTTGCATTACCTGGTCCGTGACTTGTAACGTAATAATGGAGTGCCAAGATTTTTACTGAGTGAAGTCTGTGCGAGTCAAGAGATGCAATAAAATTACTATTACTAAATTATTGTTAATAATAAAATGTACTTCAAAGAACGGAGCACTTCCTGAAGGCTACCATGCCGACCAATCACAGTTCTTGCTGTCTGTCTTTTTTCTTCCTTTTTAATAATATCAAATAGCAACATATATCACCAATCTTAACATTGCAATGGATACTTCACATTAGGGATACCGATGTATTTATAGCTAGGGGGTACAATAACAGAACAATACAGCGAAAATAAATAAGGATATCACAGATATCTGTGAAGGTTCTCAGAAGGTTAAAGTCAAGGGCAACTGGACTTGGTTGAAGGATATCACAGACCTTTAAGCGAGTACAGACATTAAGGAGCCTATCTTCAAAGCCTTTCTGTTGGAGGAGAAACTAAACAAAAATAAAGTTTCTTTCTCAAAGACTATAAATGGGGTTTTTGTTTGTAAATTTGCATTTGTGTTTATGAAATTTAGCCAGAAACAACATAAATTGATTAAGAAATAATGGTCGCAGTGTTACACTAAAAAAGATATTCTGCCAGAACAAGCAGAAACCTGAATATATCTAATCATTAATAAATGTACATACTGTACATCCTGACAAAACATATGTAATGCCGTTTCTGTATGAGTCTCACAGAAGGTACAGTTCTGCATCGCCGCGACATGTTGTTGTATTTTTGGGGAGGTGCAGGTCAGGTTACAGCTTAGATTCGACGTGTAGACACCACAGTCCAAAATTATGATTTTGCTGCATTTAAAAAAGCGCTCTGCCGGAGAACTTTCATCAATATATCAATCAATTTAGTTTATAGAGCACTTTAAACAGGGTTGGAGTTACGTGGGAGCCAGTGGGAGCTCAGCTCCCATAAGGAGGTCTGAGCTCCCATGGAAGCAGTAAAATCAGCATCTGTTGCGGTCACTAATTCATTCATCAACAACCATTATTTTGAATCACACAATGTATTTTTATTGTTATATTGTTATTATTCACATTAAAAAGATAAACAGACTTAAATGAACATACTTTCCTAATGAACTAATGTTACGCTGCGCACTGCATGACTGACAGGATGGTTCCACTTCTCCACCATCAACCACTATGGTGCGCAGTATAGATTTGACTGAACAGGTCTGAGACCGCGACCCGCAAACATTTGGTGTACTGGGACTTTTTCAAGTTGCCGGTCCTCTCCTCTGCCCTCTCCACATCAGGTTCTCTGGGCGCTATGCATGGGCGTAAGTTTCATCTCATAGTAGGGGGGGGAAGTAAACATAAAATTTCACGAGAGCAATTTTTGAGGGGGACACAAAAATACAGCCAAAATTGTACTTGTAGGCCTATAGGATGCGTGTACACAGAGAGAAGTCTTACTACTATTTTATATAACACAAAGCAATAGTTGTTTAAATATGACTTAAGTTCATAGGTTCACCACACAGCCGTATTATCATAAATAACTTGAGTCCTCTAGGCTACATAGTAATTTAGGTTTCTTCTTGGATAGATGATGTTTCTTACACACACATATCTATCTATCTAATACACTGCTCAAAAAATACTAGAAACTAAAATAACACATCCTAGATCTGAATGAAATAATCTCATTAAATACTCCTTTCTTTACATAGTTGAATGTGCTGACAACAAAATCACACAAAAATTATCAATGGAAATCAAATTTATCAACCCATGGAGGTCTGGATTTGGAGTCCCACTCAAAATCAAAGTGGAAAACCAAACTACAGACCGATCCAACTTTGATGTAATGTCCTGGACAGTCTGTGGTGCAACGTGACGTTGGTGGATGGAGCGAGACATGATGTCCCAGATGTGCTCAATTGGATTCAGGTCTGGGGAACGGGCGGGCTGGTCCATAGCATCAATGCCTTCCTCTTGCAGGAACTGCTGACACACTCCAGCCACATGAGGTCTAGCATTGTGTTGCATTAGGAGGAACCCAGGGCCAACCGCACCAGCATCTCACAAGGGGTCTGAGGATCTCATCTCGGTACCTAATGGCAGTCAGGCTACCTCTGGCGAGCACATGGAGGGCTGTGCGGCCCCCCAAAGAAATGCCACCCCACACCATTACTGACCCGCCGCCAAAGCGGTCATGCTGGAGGATGTTGCAGGCAGCAGAACGTTCTCCACGGCGTCTCCAGACTCTGTCACGTCTGTCACATGTGCTCAGTGTGAACCTGCTTTCATCTGTGAAGAGCACAGGGCGCCAGTGGCGAATTTGCCAATCTTGTTGTTCTCTGGCAAATGCCAAACGTCCTGCACGGTGTTGGGCTGTAAGCACAACCCCCACCTGTGGACGTCGGGCCCTCGTACCACCCTCATGGAGTCTGTTTCTGACCGTTTGAGCAGACACATGCACATTTGTGGCCTGCTGGAGGTCATTTTGCAGGGCTCTGGCAGTGCTCCTCCTGCTCCTCCTTGCACAAAGGCGGAGGTAGCGGTCCTGCTGCTGGGTTGTTGCCCTCCTACGGCCTCCTCCACGTCTCCTGATGTACTGGCCTGTCTCCTGGTAGCGCCTCCGTGCTCTGGACGCTACGCTGACAGTCACAGCAAACCTTCTTGCCACAGCTCGCATTGATGTGCCATCCTGGATGAGCTGCACTACCTGAGCCACTTGTGTGGGTTCTAGACTCCGTCTCATGCTACCACTAGAGTGAAAGCACCGCCAGCATTCAAAAGTGACCAAAACATCAACAAGGAAGCACAGGAACTGAGAAGTGGTCTGTGGTCACCACCTGCATAACCACTCCTTTATTGGGGGGGTCTTGCTAATTGCCTATAATTTCCACCTGTTGTCTTTTCCATTTGCACAGCAGCATGTGAAATTGATTGTCAATCAGTGTTGCTTCCTAAGTGGACAGTTTGATTTCACAGGAGTGTGACTGACTTGGAGTTACATTGTATTGTTTAAGTGTTCCCTTTATTTTTGGAGCAGTGTATATGTATATATATATATAATTTATATTTCTAAACATTATGTTTTGTCTATTTTACACTAAGTTTGTGATCTTTAGATTGCGTAAATTGCGTAAATCTCCATATTGAATCATATATCATTTGAAAGTTTTCTACAGCACAACGTTAGCTAGTCCAAATCAAGTCATATTCCTCGCCCTTTAAAGCAGTTAGAGCATCATCATTTTACACACTGTTTCTGAGGTCTTATAACAAGACATTTACAGAGGTTTTTTAAAATATCTTATCATCCTTATTTCATGTGGCATTTTATCTGTAAATATAAATAATCCATGAAAAACAATATTTTGATAAACTCTTCTGTAAATGTCTTGAGTCTTATCAATATGCTGGAAAATGGATTTGCCATACACAGACCTGTATGTGTAGCCAACAAAAGCACTTTCGTATGACGGTCACATCACGTACATCAAATCCTTGTGACTTTGCTGCAGGGGAATAAAGACACGAGAGACTGAGTTTGATTTCTATTGTGTCGCCTGAACAAAAAGCTCTTGTGAAAAGGATCAGGGTCCAGTCTGACCACCTCTTCCTCTAGTGAGGAGGAAACTTTGATATGTAGAGCAAGACACTTAACCCTTCGTTGCTACAGAGGCGTCAACCTCTGACATGTATAGCAATTGTAAGTCTCTTTGGATGAAAGCGTCAGCTAAATGAATAAATGAAAGCAGAAAGTCAAATGTTAACAATAATATATATACAGTGGGGCCAAAAAGTATTTAGTCAGCCACTGATTGTGCAAGTTCTCCTACTTAGAAAGATGAGAGAGGTCTGTAATTTTCATCATAGGTACACTTCAACTATGAGAGACAAAATGAGAAAGAAAAATCCAGGAAATCACACTGTAGAATTTTTAAAGAATTTATTTGTAAATTATGGTGGAAAATAAGTATTTGGTCACCACAAACAAGCAAGATTTCTGGCTCCCACAGACCTGTAACTTCTTCTTTAAGAAGCTCTTCTGTCCTCCACTCGTTACCTTTATTAATGGCACCTGTTTGAACTCGTTATCTGTATAAAAGACACGTGTCCACAGCCTCAAACAGTCAGACTCCAAACTCAACCATGGCCAAGACCAAAGAGCTGTCGAAGGACACCAGGAAGAAAAATGTAGACCTGCACCAGGCTGGGAAGAGTGAATCTACAAGAGGCAAGCAGGTTGGTGTGAAGAAATCAACTGTGGGGGCAATTGTAAGAAAATGGAAGACGTACAAGACCATTGATAATCTCCCTCGATCTGGGGCTCCACGCAAGATCTCATCCCGTGGGGTCAAAATGATCATGAGAACGGTGAGCAAAAATCCCAGAACTACACGGAGGGACCTGATGAATGACCTGCAGAGAACTGGGACCAAAGTAACAAAGGCTACCATCAGTAACACACTACGCCGAGAGGGACGCCAGGCGTGTCCCGCCTGTACATGTCCAGCCCCGTCTGAAGTTTGCCAGAGAGCATATGGATGATCCAGAAGAGGACTGGGAGAATATCATGTGGTCAGATGAAACCAAAATAGAACTTTTTGGTTAAAAACTCAACTTTGGAGGAAGAAGAATGCAGAGTTGCATCACCATACCTACTGTGAAGCATGGGGGAGGAAACCTCATGCTTTGGGGCTGTTTTTCTGCAAAGGGGACAGGAAAACTGATCCGTGTTAAGGGAAGAATGAACGGGGCCATGTATCGTGAGATTTTTAAACCAAATCCTCCTCCCATCAGTGAGAGCGTTGAAGATGGAACGTGGCTGGGTCTTCCAGCATGACAATGATCCCAAACACGCCGCTCGGGCTCCGTTAAAAAGCATTTCAAGGTCCTGGAGTGGCCTAGCCAGTCTCCAGACCTCAACCCCATAGAAAAGCTGTGGAGGGAGTTGAAAGTCCGTGTTGCCCAGCGACAGCCCCAAAACATCACTGCTCTAGAGGAGATCTGCAGGGAGGAATGGGCCAAAATACCAGCTACAGTGTGCAAACCTGCTGAAGACTTACAGGAAACGTTGACCTTGAGTACTGACCAAATACTTATATTCCACCATAATTTACAAATAAACTCTTTAAAAATCCTACAATGTGATTTCCTGGAATTGTTTTTCTTTTTCTCCTCATTTTGTGTCTCATAGTTGAAGTGTACCTATGACAAAACAGACCTCATCTTTATAAATAGCAGAACTTGCATAATCAGTGGCTGACAATACTTTTTTGTGTATCTATCACAATCTCAAAATAAATCATACGTTGAAAATGTCATGCTTTCTTGACAAGCAGCACATCTATTAAAGTAACAATGTTTTTCCACTGGTTCTCAGTTTGTGAGGAAATACATTTTGTTGTAATATTTGGGCGTTTCTGTCTGATTTAGATCTCTCACGTTGTTACTGTTTGGAGCAGGTCTTTATTCTTTTGCTACTCTGGAATAAAGTTGGTTCAATATAAACAAAGTAGCTCAGATGTAGTAAAGGACTTTTGCCATGTTGCTGTAGCTGAGCTTGCTACGTTTCTCCTGGTTGTAGCTTCAGTGTAGTGAAGCTTCATTTAATGTAGAGTTAACTGGTAGCTTGGCTCACTGTAAACACTAGTGTTTTGTTAATTATAAATACAATTGTTAAATATTTAAAGCAAAACAAATGCGCACATTTAGATGCATATAATTATTTGCTGCTGAGAGAAACACCTTCTCGGTGCCTTTATTCTCTGTTAACTTCATCATTTAGCCTCATCTGTCTCTGTGAAATACAGTCCTTTATTGATATGAAAAGTCAGTTTTATTAAGTGCAAAATCACAAACTTGTCTCAAAGCTTTACAATCTGTACATCATGTGGCCTCTCTGTCCTCAGACCCTCTGTTTCTGACAGAAATTACTCAATACAAGTTGAATCTGATCTGAGAACAGTCTGGAAACAGTTTAGTTGTTCATGTGTGAATGCTGGTCAAACTGTTTATTTAGCGGGACAACATGCAGAGGACAATATTTGACATCCTGCTCTCATATTAGTTGTCTTCTTCTTCAGGTCCTTTTCTCAGACAGTGAAAGAATCCTGGAGACAGTTGACACAGATGAGTTTCAGCCTGTTTCTCTGTCACACTGACAAACTGAGGAACACTGCTTCATGTTGAACAGCAGTTAGGACTCATGTTGGATAGAAAATCACTCTGACTGTGTTTCTTCCTCCAGGGTGGACCATGGTGGAGAGCAGAGGTTAAAACCTGATGTGAGGAAGTGTAAGTGTGGATTCAATCTGACTCATGATGACAAAACAGCACACAGTCAGTTTCTCTTAATACAAAGTTGATAGTTGTGATATTTATTCATTCAAACATTACTGACTAAATGCATCATCATTAAACTTTATAGAAATGAACAACATCAGCACACAAACAAAGAATAAACCTTCAGATGTGTCTGATGATAAACTGCTGCTGTGTTGTGTCTCGTTCTCTCCATCAGATTTCTGTGAACTCACACTGGACACAAACACAGCACACAGAAACCTCAAACTGTCTGACAACAACAGGAAGGTGACATGGGTGAGAGAGGAGCAGCCATATCCTGATCATCCAGAAAGATTTGACTGCTGGGAACAGCTGCTGTGTAGAGATGGTCTGACTGGTCGTTGTTACTGGGAGGTCGAGTGGAGAGGAGGAGTTTATATATCAGTGAGTTACAGAGGAATCAGAAGGAGAGGAGGCAGTAAAGACTGTGGGTTTGGAAGAAATGATCAGTCCTGGAGTCTGAGCTGCTCTGGTGGTCGTTTCTCTGTCTGTCACAATAACAGAAAAACAGTCCTCCCTCCCCTCCTCCTCCTCCTCCTCCTCCTCCTCCTCCTCCTCCTCCTCCTCCTCCTCCTCCTCCTCTAACAGAGCAGCAGTGTATGTGGACTGTCCTGCTGGCTCTCTGTCCTTCTACAGAGTCTCCTCTGACACACTGATCCACCTCCACACCTTCAACACCACATTCACTGAACCTCTTTATCCTGGGTTTACAGTCTGGTCCTATGGTTCCTCCTCAGTGTCTCTGTGTTCTGTGTAGGAGGGAGACAACTTCCAGTCCTGTGGTTTAAATGTTGGTGGTGGACGAGGCTTCACTTTGGTTAACATCTGGCTCACTGATTATGCCTTTAATGTCAGAAATGTGTTTTCTTAGAAATGGTGAAATGATCTCAGGGCTGAACTTGTTGTGTACAAACTCTGATTTTCACTTTAATAAAGTTTTCTTGGAGCAGCATCTAGTAGCTGCTGATGGCTGCAGAGCTTCTCATTTATTTCAATAAAGGTTTGAAGACAAAACTCAACAAATAGTCTTGATTTATTCTGTTGCTCAAGTACATTTCTTTTCCTGCTGAGTTTGATCCTCACAAAGGCTAAATCAAAAGATAAGTCAGGCAGGAAGGAAGTGAAGCCTTGAAGGTTTATTATTATTATCTGAAAAATATAGAAAAAAACTAAATCCTATTATAATATAATAGGATTTAGTTTTTTTTCTCTCATTATTATTTTAATTATTTTCTGAATCTGCATCTAAACGTAAATGTGACGCCACGGTTCCTGCGGAGGAAAGTGACCAACTGCTCATCCGCCCGCTGTGAGTTCAAACACAACGTTTACCTGGTTTAGCCTCCGTGGCTGCTGCTCTCTCACCAAACTCCATTCAGAAAAACACCAGTTTAGTAGATCTTCCTTTTATCAACAAAGGCCAAAGCTTTTTTAAACTTGCTATTTAAACTTAACTATTCATTAGAGGCAAGGCTTCATTTCGGCGCAGACCAAATGTACCAAACATTATTTATTTAAGAAGGTTTTCAACGTGGAAATCTAACCGCGAGACTTGACGTTAACTTCAACAACATTCATTAAAATCAGATGCTTATTGGTGGATTCTAGAAATTCTGAGTTAATAATTTAACTGATTAATTAAATTAAATAACCGGTATTTGGCTTGTTTTGGCCTTTGCTGACAAAGTGTTTTAAAAGTGCTTAATTATTGAATGGAGTTCTGCTTGATGTTCCTCTGGGGGCAGATATGCATCAGCTGGTCCTTCTGTTATTATTGGTTCTGCTGGGTTTGATAGCTGAGTTTAGTTTGTTAACGGTTCTTGGGGGAAGAGTTTTGTCTTTAAGGCTGAAACCTGAAACATCTGGATGTCAGTTAGACATGAAAGTGATGCTGTCTCTGTGTGTTTGTGTCCAGAGGAGCAGGACAGGAGGTGGGACGGTCCTGCATCATCCTGGAGTTCAAGGGACCAAAGATTCTGGTCTGTTTTTAATCCCATCAGCTGCACGGTATTCAGCTTTCAGTCACCTCAGTGTGTAAAAACGTGTGTGTGTTGTGGTTCAGCTGGACTGCGGGATCCATCCTGGTCTGGACGGGACGGACGCTCTGCCGTACATCGACCTGATCGACCCGGCTGAAATTGACCTGCTGCTCATCAGCCAGTGAGTTCCCAACATTTATCAGCACAGCAACCAGAGAACACTGTAATATACACACACTCAGCTGTACTAGCAGGTGGACTTTAATGTCCAAGTGTGTTGTTTTCCCTTCTCTGTACAGACTCGACCTGTGTATGAAATGTGCTTTCTAATCAAACTGCTTTGCCTGACATGATGCTGAGAAATCAGACCAACATAAAGGTCAGGGCTGATGTGGACCTGGAAACTCCTCAGTAACTGTTGCCCTCCCTCTCAGCTTCCACCTGGATCACTGTGGAGCTCTGCCCTGGTTCCTGCAGAAGACCAGCTTTAAAGGACGCACCTTCATGACTCACGCCACCAAGGCCATCTACCGCTGGCTGCTGTCCGACTACGTCAAAGTCAGGTAAGACCAGGACCCAGAGTCACATCAGACTCCCATACTACAGGGACCTGGACTCACCAGGACAGGATATGATGTACTGTGTTTAATATTCTTCTGTGTATACCATGTGGAGTATAACCTGCAGTACTTCAGCGTGTATAACCTGCAGTACTTCAGCGTGTATAACCTGCAGTACTTCAGCGTGTGTAACCTGCAGTACTTCAGCGTGTATAACCTGCAGTACTTCAGCGTGTATAACCTGCAGTACTTCAGCAGTACTTCAGCGTGTATAACCTGCAGTACTTCAGCGTGTATAACCTGCAGTACTTCAGCGTGTATAACCTGCAGTACTTCAGCGTGTATAACCTGCAGTACTTCAGCGTGTGTTGTAGTAAAGCTGACCTGTTTTCTGCAGTAACATCTCTGCAGACGACATGTTGTACATGGAGACGGACCTGGAGGAGAGCATGGAGAAGATGGAGACCATCAACTTCCACAGTGCGGACGGTAACAAGTGGTGAACACAGCGGTGAGGTTCATTCAGATTTATTTAAATACGCTTTTTCCCACCACAATTTTGGCGTTGTCGGCTCGTCACACACGCGAGAGGACTCGGACACTCGGAGCTGCAGGTGAAAAACCGTATGGCCAAAATACGGGTGAGACGTTGAGGGCCTGACGCCTGAGTGTCTGAGGCTCCCTCACCGCTGTGATCCACAAAGAACCTGGTGGCTGGCAACACTCTCTTTGTGGTGAGTAGACTGTTCAAGTGGAACGATTCTCGCTGCCTCTCAGGGTGAGCGTGACAGACGTGTCAGCAGGGCAGGCCTGGGGCCGCCGTGTGAATCGGCAAAGCTTTGTGTTAAAGGTACTATAGTCAAGAAATCACTGGGGGGCAGTGGATTTCTTATAGGTCTGGGACCTGCTGTTGCATCAGTTCTTTTGGGTCTGGGACCCACAGTAAAGTAGGGGTGTGTGAGTCATAGGACTCGCAATAAAATTGAAGAAAAACAATTTTATTTAAAAAATTTTTTTATTATTTTACTTGGGGTTGCTGCTCCAGGTGATTACCAAGTAATTAGACAGTATTGTTGAATGCTGAATGTGTTCACTACAGATGTATGAATGAAGTGCGAATGAAAATTTTTTTGAGTGGGCATTGCAAACAGCCTTGTGTGAATGAATTGCGACTGGGGTAAAAAAAACACTAACAGACCGTGTGAATGTTGAACAGGCTTTTTGTAAACGGGATAGGATTTCCTCAGACTACTAGCTTTGTTAACATTTAATAGAAACACGTAAGAATTTAGACATTATATAGATCTTGTGACAACCTAGAATTCACCAGGTTTCACCACCGTGGAAAACCCCGGAAACGCCCATTTTATAAATGAGCCACACTGATTCGTTGCCGGATGGCGCGACAATTAAACCTCCTCCTTTTTGTTTGTTTGTGCCAGAGAAACTGAACCAGTTTTATTTATCTTTTTTTTTGCTTTGGCATTGGACTGAATTTATATTTGTGATTTTGAAATGAACTGCAACTCATTTGTGCTTTTGAGATTGTTTGGTTTAAGTGTGCACCAATTTTCAGTTGGTTTGTGCTTTACTTTGTGATTGTATTTTTGTGTGAAATCTTGAAATGCACCAATATTTTGTTTTGTACTAAGCTTTTGAGTTTGTGGTGTTTCTTTCTTTTATGGTCATTCAGTGGGTTTTTTTGTTGATTTAAAGCGGGCTCTTCAGTCTCCACCGACCCTGGGTCTCCCCGACTGTAACAACATTTCACCCAGACTGTTGACGAAAAGGGGGGGTACATGACCTCAGTACCACTACAAGACCATGGGGGACGACTGAGACCTGGAGCTTATTTTTCATCCAAACTGGACTCTGTTGCAGCCAAACTGCCTGAGAGCTGTGGCGGCTGCTGAAAAAGCAGCCATGGCATCACGTGACATTGTGGGTTATTCAGACTTGACATTGTTGGTTCCACATGCTGTCGATGATTTTGCTTGAACAAAAAACATCTCATCTCTCCACATCCAGGTGGCTGAGATACAAGACCGTGTTGCTTGATATATCTAACATTACTACACTGTACTGAATCCTGCTACTCTCCTCCCAACTCCAGGTGAAGGACAGCCGCATGATTGTGTTGCAGTCATAGCAGAAACCTGCTCTCTAAGGGCAGACTTGCAGGAGACTCCTCTAACAAACCCAGACATGGAGTTGTTTGTGGACGGCTCAGCATCACGTGATCCAGCTCCTGGTAAAAATCGTTTTTGCAGTAACAACTTTGCATGAGACTATTTTGCATATTTGTGCAACTAACAATGTGGGGCGGCCGATTCAGATCCCACAGGTGGCACACCCACCCCCAGACAAACCATTTGAGCACCTGCAAATGGACTTCATTGAACTGACACTGTCACAGGGGAAGAAATATTGTGTTGTCATGGTAGATATGTTCTCTAAAGGGGTAGAGGCATTTTCAACATCTAAACAGGATGCAGCAGCAGTTGCAAAAGCTTTGATAAGCCAGATCATCGCTGAGCGATCCTAGCTAAGATCTCCAGTGATAATGGCACACCTTTCATTAGCGCAGCACTGAAGAGTGTAGGGGAGGATATGGGGATTGATCTGAGGCAACATTGTGCTCATCATCCAGCTAGCGGAGGTGCAGTTGAATAAGAAAATGGCACATTGAAAAACAAGCTTGTTAAATGCTGTGAAGAAACAGGTTTAACATGGACAAAAGCTTTGCCAGTCGTTTTATGCACATGAGAAGCCGGATGAGGGGCAGAGGGGGTCTCAGTCCTTTTGAAGTCCTATTTGGCAGACCATTGAACAAGGGGATTGGGCCAGTAAAAAGACAACTCCCTGATACCAGCCAATGTGAGGATGAAATGTTGAGATATTGTGCTAATTTGTCCTCTGTGCTTTCTGAAATTCATATGCAGGTCAAAAACACCATCCCGAAGGCCGCAGAGAAGAAACTGCACGATCTGGAGCCAGGGGACTGGATTGTGGGAAAGGACTTCAGGAGAAAGGGCTCGCAGGTGGACCGGGCCATTTCAGATACTGCTAACAACAGAAACAGCAGTAAAAGTGGCTGAAAGAGCAACTTGGATTCACGCCACCCACTGCAAACGAGTGCCAAAGCAACCAAAAGGCCTCAAACCAGGCGAAGATGGAGATCAGTGATTGAGCTGAGCTTTCCCCTGCCTTGTGTTCCTAGGGAGGGAGGGGAGTGGAGGTCTCTGAGACCACCTAGAACCACTAATCTCCCAAACACTCACCGCGGGCACACTGAAACCAACAGATGGCTCTGGAGAGGTGACGGACCGAGACAAAACGGAGGCGTTGTTCTGCTCACTGTCATCATTTCCAAACATGAAAACAACAAACTTGGCCTGACTGAGGGAAAGTTCCAGGCCGAAGAGGAGGAGATGCACGTCCTCCCTGACAGCCCGGCTGGGCTGAAAGACAATGCATGGT